GCTTGCCACAGTGATGCACCAATGTTGGTTTCTTAGATTTTCCAAGTGTACCATAGTAATTAGGGAAAACAGAAACTGGGAATGGGTATAAGGAAATCCATGTAGTATCTGCAACTTTCCTGTAAATCTAAAATAATACCACATAAAAGGTATAGTTGTTGTTGAAAATCCCAGTTAAATATGTCAATTCTTTCCTGATGGGAAGTAAACTGATGAAACTATTATATTCAACTACTGTAAACAATAACAGGGGAATGAAGATCAAGAAGATGTCAAGCAAGAGTAGAGAGAAGGAGAAAGGGCAGCAGTTCATATTTATTGAGCATTTATTAAATACTAGGCATTTTCTTAAGCACAAAAAAAGTTTTATTTAATCTCCAAAACAGGTCAGTAAGTAACTATTTTATTGGGTAATCACTGTGTTTTACAGATGTGGAATTGTGATAGAGAAGGTTGTATGGTTGCTCAAAGTCACACAGCTAATATGTGGTAGAACTGGCAGTCAAATTCAGGTAATCTGATTTCAGAGAACTCACTCAGAAGCATCTCCCTGTTAGATCTCTGTCATTACCCACAACAACAACCCAGTCCTTCAGCCACTCTGCCCTCTTCTCAGAAGCTGAGAGTTTCCAAAGAATGTAACATAGGCAGTAGTTTACATCTGACCCAAATACTTCTATCAATGTGATTCATCACCATAGAAGTCAAAACTCCATTGTCCCAACTGACTGCAGAAATGAAGAACTGATTCTCAGTCATGTGGGTCTTTTTCTCCCTCCTCTATTCTTGGAGCTCAGAAGTCATTCAGATGAGTTTGTGTTCATTTCTAAATATATTCTGAGGCATATAATGTGATCAACTGCACTGAATTCTTACCAAGCTTAACTATTTTGAAACAAATTTGAACCATTAATTCATATATCATCTCAAATGAGAACAAGAGATTTATTTGAAAACCATTATTCACGTTGAAATTTTCTTAAGCTTTAATTCTCAGATTTTCTCCTTTTATTACCTCAAAGAAAGACAACTTCTCTCTCATGTCTACATGAAGTTCCAGGACCCATTTCCACATCCCTGGGCAAATTGTGTGGCTGAATGGGTACCATGATTGGGCAGGCATGGGCCATGTGACCAGCTGAGGACCTGTTTTTCTATGATTGGCAATTTACCAGATTAGCACCAGTTAGCACTCAGATTGGATTTAAGCAGAAGCTTCTCTGCTTTTGCCAAATAGCATGTTACCCAACTGTATCTCCTGGCTTTTTTCTAATATCAACCTTTTACCACTCACAAAGATGCCCAGATCCCCTTGTAAGCCCAGTGAAAGAGACCTTGGGGATATGGACTGAAGAGGCCCCATGTCTGTGGCTGGTGGGAAAATGCCAATAAAGGCCTGGACTGGAGCTGTGGTTGGCAACAGCCCTCGGTGTCTGTGTACCTGCTGGCCCATCCCTATTGCATTTTGAGTCACTGCGCTTCCTAAAGGCTTATTACTAACAGCTCCGATGAATCACTCCTCTCTTTCCTCCCTGCCTTTTTAAATAGGCGGGGAAGAGGTGCTCATCTGAGGTTGCCATGAACATGGGAGTGCAGGTATCTTCTGAAGGTGGTAATTTCATTCCCCTCAGTTTATACCCCAAAGAGGAGCTGCTGGGTCCTACAGTAGTACCATTTTTTATCTCCGCAGAGCCTCCATGCCATTTTCTACAATGACTGCATCCATCTACATTCACACCAACAATAACCCATGGTCTTTAAAGACACAACCTGTTTTAACTAACCATAGGTATTTAGGTGACTGGATTGTCGCAACCTGGCTGTGAAAACCCTTTCACCTGGATTCTTCATCTTTCCAGAACCACCTGTTTTTCTTCCACAGAGCAGATTGCAAACTCCTTCTGGTTTATTTTGGTACTGGGAATTCAACTCAGGGGTGCTTTACACCTGAACTTCATCCTCAGTGCTCTTTTTTGTTATTTTTTGTTTGTTTGTTTGTTTGAGACAGAGCTTTGTTAAGTTGCTGGCACTGTCTTCAAACCTGTAATCCTACTTCCTCACCCTCCCCAGTCACTGGGATTACAGGTGTGTGCCATTTGTTTACACACCTACCTAATGCATGGAAAAGCTGTCTTTCAAAACACTCCATTCTTTGTAGTAATCACGCTGCTTGGGACCAAGGTGCTGGGGTTCATAGAGGTGCTGCTGTGGTACTGGGTAGTCACACTAGCAACAGACTGGAGAAGGTTTTTTCAGAACTCACCTTGACAGCTTTCCATGAATTCCAAATCTTCAGCCCACAAGAGACCAGAAATTTAATCATCAAAATTATCAAAAAAGATCTGGAATCAACCATAAAACAAATTCATTATTCAATTAACTGTACATAGAAATGGAAGATGCCATTTATGACAGCCAAAAGGAAAAAATGCCCAGGTATAGGCTCAAAAGGGAACATCCAAAAGCCATATGAGAAATCAGAAAACATTCCTGAAAGACATAAAAGTAGATACAGATGAAATGACGTACTATGCTCCAGGACAGAAAAACTCAAAACCAGAAATACATCTGATCTCCCTAAATTAGTTTATAAATTTAATAAATCTCTCCAGAGGCGGGGTGGGGGAGGGAGAGAGGAGAAGGAGAAGGGATAAGGGGATAAGGGAAGGAGAAGTAAGGGAAGGGGAAGAGAAGGGAAGGGAAGGGAAGGGAAGGGAAGGGGAGAAAAATATGCAGAGAAACTGGAGTGCTGATACATTGCCCTGGGGTTGTAAAATGTTGCAGCTACACTGGAAGCAATTTAGCAGCTCCTCAAAATGAAACACATAAAAATAGCATATTACCCAGCAATTCCACTCCTAAGTGTAGACATTCTTACAAAAAGTTATACACAAAGTATTCTTAGCAGTATTATTCTTAAGAGCCAAAAAGTCAAACACAAATGTTTATTAACTGATGATCAAATACACACAATCTGACATATCTGCACAAAGTATTATTAGCAACAGTAAAAAATGACATACTGGGATGGGGTTGTGGCTCAGTGGTAGAGTACTTGCCCAGCAAGTGTGAGGCACTGGGTTCGATTCTCAGCACCACATATAAATAAATGAATAAAGTAAAGGTCCATCAACATCTAAAAATTATAAAATTAAAAAAGAATGACATATTAAGTCATACTACATCTTAGATGGACTTTGAATGTATTGTGCTAAATGAAAAATTATGACATTAATATAACATGTCCAGAATAGGCAAATCCAGAGAAATAGACAGTAGAATCATGATTTCCATGAGTTGGAGCAGGGAGGAACTGGGAATCATGGTTAGTGGATATGGAGTTTCTTTGTGGAGGATTAGAAATGTTTTAAAATTAGATAACAAATGTTTCTACTGCATGACTCTGTGAATGTACCCACCACTGAATTATGCACATTAAATTAGAAATTTTGTGATATGTAAATTATATCTTTAAAAACTATTATTATTATAAATAAAAATATTATTTATATTTTTAAATAATATGAAAAATAACATTTAATTTAATTTAATTTTTTAATTTAATTTAATATTAAAACTAAAAGAAACCACAGACTGTGAAGAAATATTTATACATCATAGATTTGATAAAGGACTTATAGCCAAAGTATATAAAAATGTCTTTAATTCAATAATACAGGAAGAAGACAAATTACTTAATTTTAAAATAAACAAATGATTAGATTATAAGAAGGCATACAACTGGCCAATAACTAACATAAAAATGATGAACTTGATTAATCACGGAAATATCAATCAATACCACCTTCACCCATTAGAAGGACTGTAATCATAAAAACACTGATGTTGGTAGGGATGTAGAGACACTAGAACTTCATACATTACTGGTGGGAATGTAAAGCAATACAAACACTGGAAAACAGTTTACAGTTTCTGTAAAGCTAAACAAATTTTCATATGACCCTACAGTGACACCCTTAGGAATAGACCCAAAAGAAACAAAAACCTACATTCACACAAAGACCTGTACACAAATGTTCATAACTCATAATGGCAATGAGTGGGACCAAGCCAAAGGTTCATGAGCTGGTGTCTAGATAAATAAATGCCTCTTTTCTACAAAACAGAACAATATTCAGCAATAAAAATGCATTAAGAATCGATGCATGCCACAATGAACTCCATTATTCTGTGTAGTTAAAATGTACTAATAATTTTTAAAAGCATCAATACCTGCTCAAAAAGGATAAAACTCAAACACATTATGCAAACGAAGGAAGACACACAAAATGTACGTTGTATAGTTCCATTTATATGAAATGTAGGAAAAAATTATAAACGTAGAAAACCAATAAGTAACTGCCTAGGGCTGGGAATGGAAACAGCCATGAGGAAAGTGCTTTAGGGGTAATGGAGATCTTCCAAACCTAGATTTGGTGATGGATGCACAACTCTGGGAATTTACCAAAAATCAGTTAGCTGTAGTTTACAATGTACATGAATTTTATGGTATGTAATTTATAGTTCAACAAGACTGTTGAAAAATAAGTCAGTAAGGTGATCTAACTAAAAACTGATAAAAGTAAAACAAGCTTACAATGAAGAGCACCAGGAAAAGATTCCAAGTTTTTTTAAAAGAATCTTAAAAAAAAAAAAAAAAAAAAACATTTGTTGACCAGGGATGGAGCCCAATGGTAGAGTGTTTACCTGTTATGTAAGAGGAGCTGGATTTAGTCCCCAGAACTACAAAAAAAAAAAAAAAAACATTGGGTAATACTTATGTCTCACTAAAAATATAACAGAGATACATAAATGGGGACAGCTAGTCTTCTAAAAGTTTTTTCAAGTTTTTACTTTCCAAAACCTAAAAAAAAAAAAAAAAAATGACAATGTAGGAGTACTGATGGCTGCAACATTTATCTCCTCAATTTATTACATGCATTTCCAATATCAAAATGTTTATGGAACATAACAGTGGATTATGTTTGACTGGAAGGTGAAAACAAGGGAATCCTCTCTCTCCCTCTCTCTCTCTCTCTCTCTCTCTCTCTCTCTCTCTCTCTCTCTGGAATATTATTTCATTTTGCTCTGGCTTTTGCATTTTAATTTACCTTTCCCTAATGTGTTTCTAAGTTCCCTCCGCTGTATGCAGTTTACACAATATCTGCTGAAAAGAAACAAGGAATGCACACATTGAATGATTGTCGTATTTTACTTGTATAATATGCCAAAATACTGGAACCAAAGAGAACCCTAAAATCCCAAGAAGAATCCACTCTCTTTATCCAAGATACCCCTTCTCCCCACTGATGCACAAGACTTTACAAGAAGTTCATTTACTTCCAAAGGAAACCCCTGGGAGTATCAAGGAGTTTGGGTCTGATTCACATTCTGCAGGGCACAAACAAAAGGACTTTCACCTTCAAGGAAAGTCATAAATACACATTATTACGTCATTAAATCACCGGTTTAATGTTCGGATTGGAAGGCCAGCAGCTCAAGACACAGACGGTTTCCAGGATCCTACCGCTGCCCCAACACTGCTTCCTGATCTCCAAGGTCTTGGCCGCGACTTTCTTAGGGAGAAGAAAATCTGCCAAAGAAGAGGACACTGTCGGACCCGCGGTGCCTGATGAAGAACAGGAAGGGGTGATCGCAGTGGACTTGCTCACAGCCCCCGGCCGATGAGACCATGTAACCTATGCCGGTGGCCGCCGTGGCCTCCGCGCCTTCCTCGGTGACCTGCACGAAGGACCGGTGCAGGAACCTCTGCGCCTGCAGCCCCGAGCGCGCGCACATCCCCGAGAAGTCGGCGTCGCTCTCGCTGAAGGCCGCGCGCAGCCCCAGGGCTGCCAGGACCGGCTCCAGCTCATAACTGCCCTCCACCACCAGCCTGGGCAAGCGCAAGTTCACGTTCCTGACCTCCATAAGCTCCGGCCTGGTCCACTCTATCAATTGCTCAGGAGTGACTTGATCTGTAATCTGTTTTTTAAGAGGGGGGAGGAAAGCAGATTGGCATGATTGTAGATAAAAATTTAAAACGGCAAGGTACTGATTTGTATCAGAAATGAATAGTTTTCATAATTAAATACAGGTGAAACTTCATTTTACCCTGCTGCTGTCACTATATAGCAGGCATTTCTATTTCTCTCCTTAAATTATCTGTGTATGTGGGAAAACTCAATACCATTTATTGAATTTTTAAAGATTAAAAATAAGTCATGTCTTATTCTAGCAACTTGATACGTATTTCATTTTTTACCAATTCCTCCAGTCCTTATATGTGCACATATATTTACACAGTTACAATCACAGTGAATGTCTACTTTATGTAATTTAAGTTTTTCACTCTATTGCATATCTCCCCTAAATACCTTCAAATTACTAGAAAATATTCCCATCAAACTGATACATTTCATCTCTTCATTCACTTTACAAACATTAGTATGTACCAGGCATTATGAAAGATGCTGATACATACTGCAAATATTAAAAATGGTAGGTACTATGAATTTCTACCTGGGTATCCTAATGTATTCAATGCTGAAATTACTGATTTGACTCAGAAGGGCAATTTTTATCTTGTGAATTATTTCCTTAGGGAAATTCTCATAACTGACATTTTTAAATATGAGAATGAATACTCTTAAAGAACTCATACATATTGCCACTTGGCTCTCCCAAAATATTTCCATCTTATAATGGTACTAGCAAAGTTTCACAGCACAGACTAAATCTGGTATTTAACCATGCAGCAGCTACCATTTATTGAGTGCTTTCTATACCCTCCACCCATTCAAGGCTCCATCTCCCTAATCATACAACATTACATATTAAGCACCATGAAGCCTGATTTATGCCTGGGAAAACATTGAGATTCAAGAAAGGTAAGAAGGGTCCGTGGTCAGAAAGCTACTAAAGGAATAGGGATTTGAAAGGAAGCCTTCCTGATGTCCAGAACTCAGGACATTAGCCACATTCACGTTTTACTGCAAAGTGGGTGAAAATTTGCTGTAAATGAGTGTATGTGATTTTTTTTTCCAAGAAAAGGATCCATGTCGTGGAATCTTTAGAACTCTTACTGAATCCTAAATGTTCATTTTAGCTCACCCCCAAAAAATCTGAATACTGGTTATTCCCAGTGAGCCTGATACCATTTAGTGTTCCCCTGCAGAGCTCCACTGTGGCTGCAGAGAGGGAGAAATGATCTAGTGTACACCACCAGGCACCAGCTGCTACTCAGACACCTGCTTCCAGACTCCTGGAGCACAAGTGTTGGGAGCAAAAACTTAGGAAAGGAAAGCACAGTAGGGACCAAGGGGTTTACCTTCTCCAGACCCTCTATGTCGTTGGGTAGAAGCACAAACATGCTGAGGTCATTGTTTTTATACGGAATCCCCACGATTTTGGCCTCCAAGTCCTCCAGGAAAACGAAACTAAAAGAATGGTGCTGTTCCATCATCCACACAGACTTACTTGTATTCTGCAACAAGTTAACAGAGCATAGGATGTCAAAAGGCATTAGACAAAGGCACAGGCAACAAGCTAGCTCACTGAAGTATTCAGATAATAATGATGCTAAAGATCAGTCACAGAAGGGCATTTGCCATCAGTGTATGTTTGCTCAAATATGACTTCAGATCTTATACTCCATGTGAAAGCACATCACGTAAATAAAGAACCATACCTTATTCAGCCAAAATTCTTCTTCCTTGGTATTTTCTTTATTAAATTCCCTATCCCACTGTCCTTTAAAATAAACTGTGTTTATCAGCACCAACTTGGTAGAGCTACTAAGAGAGCCATCTGGAAACAGGTCCTTGATTTTTTCTGCAAACAGAAAAAAAAAGGAAAGATTGGTCCATCTTCCAGATCAAAGATGGTATGTGTGGCAGATAGGAAGCAGACAGCCTTGACTGATTACTGAAAATTCAGCCAGGTCAGCACCTGAAGGCCTTGCCGACATGCGTTCTCTGCAGAATCGGTGGGGAGGTTGTCACTCTGCCCATCGCCTATTTATCCCACTGGATAAATTGAGGTTGATGGTTAAGAGTCCCGGCTCTGGGGTCAGATTGCCTCTGATGGCATCCAGTTCTGCCTCTTATCAGCTGAGGAATCTTGGGCAAGTTATTTAAGCTCTCTGTGCCTCAGTTTCCACATCTGTAAAATAGGAATAAAACCTGCCTCACAGGGTTGTTGGAAGGAGTCAGTGACTTAATATGTAGAAAGCCTCAAACACTATCTGGCACATCATAAGCACTTGGTGTGCAACTGTTCTTCCCTAGTCAATATGGCTCCCACCTGAGGTTGAGAGATTGTTTATTCTATGAAAAATGGAACTGATATTTTGGGCTCTGGGTTCAGTCCATCCCACACTACATTCTGAAAACACTGTTCAGCCAATCTTTTGAAAGACCCTTATATTCTGATTATTTTAAGTTTCTTTCTTTAAATGAAGCATGAAAAAGAGGCGCATTCTGTAATAACAGCAATCTCCCTGACAAATGGAATAAAAAATGCTAAATATCAGCTATTGTTTCCCAAAGTGAATCTCCACATTAACTTTTCTTTCCAGTATTTCTCGTGTTTTTGACCCATACTAGGGAATGAGAAGGGGATAATGGGGAGAGGAATTCATCCAATTCTCTGATGTAGATGGGACTGAGCATTGTATCATCCCTGAATGATGCCCAAGTGGAGATGAGGCCCAGGTGGCCCCAGCTGTAGGTAGCAGAGACAGGTCTTGATGGAGAGCTGTGTGCTTCTCATGTAACAAAGGGAAAGGGAACTCTCTGTGACATTTGCACTTGGGGACCCAGACACAAACAGAGATGTTCTGATATGCAGGAAAGAATATACTCAAGAGAGGCAGGAGCCCAGGTCCAGGAACCCCAATGGTACTCTAATACACAGCCGTGCGCAAAGAGTCCTCCAAGGGTCTCCACACAGCCGCTTCCTACGGTCCCCTCCTTGGTTCCCCTTGAGTCTCCCCATTTGCTGTGTCCATTTCACTATCTGCAGTGTCCTCCCCTTACGCCCAGCCCTGCCTGTTCAACCCTGCAAAACCCATCTCAAGCCCCTCCCAGAGTGTCCACCTGGCTCCCATGCAGAACCAAGCCCAGGGCTTCACTCACAGAAGACAGTCAAGAAGTCTTTGTATGACCAACGACCCCCCATACTCTACCATTTGTTTGACTTTCAACCCAGGAATTAATCTTCTTTCGACTTTCATCAGCTTCATTTATAAAATCAACAGGTTCCAGAGATGCATGGTAATATTTTTCAACATAATCTAAGTATTTCTTTAGGAAAAACAGGAAAGATATAGAGAGGAGTTTAATAGTCAATTTGTCAATTACCAACAGGTCTAAATAAAAGTACCAGTTGATTAGGATGATTAAGGTTAAAAAAAAAAAAAAAAAACATTGAATTCCCTGGAAAATCACTTTAAATGCCTCCACACACAATTTTATGCAGATGCAAGAGGATTAAGGCAAAAATCATGCTCAGAATGCCAGAGTTAAAAATAAATGTCTGGGGCACAGACCATCAATGATATGGGTAAAGCCAAGCAGCCAACTTAGGAGACACACCCCCAGGACCCACAGTCCTGATGGTCACTTGGCCATTCAAACTAACACTCACAGATGTGGTGGACACAGCAAAACTTACTTGAAGGAAGAGGAATGTTTTTTCTCCAAACAGCCTGTTGGCTAAGTTCAGTTCATAATCATTAGTGAGTTTGCTTATTTCAGTCAAAACCTGTTGGAATTGGTGATGGATCTCTTCTGTATTCTCAATCTTGAAAATCAAGACAAAAACTCAATAGGTTATCTGGGCAAAGGCAAACCTAGATTCTCCTTCAAGAGGATTCAGCTACTGGGTCTTCCCCTCAGGTGGGCACCCTTGAGTGCAATCTGTGGGTTCCCTGTGGCCCCTAGATGTCAGTTAGCTTCTACATGAATCATATGATTCTGTAAGTCATGACAAGTCTCAGCTCCACAGAGAAGCGTTGTCCACCAGCCCAACACCACAGGTCTTTCTTTTCTGACTCAGGTTGCATTTTTGGTCTCAATTGTCTACTATGTTTTATACACTGTTTTTATCTGCCCATGACACTCCAGGCACCTAAGAGAAGTAGATAATTCCCACCAGATAATTCTTATCTACCAGAGTTTAGAAATTTCTGTTCTAGACAGACAGTGGATAAGATGGAATAAGTAGCCATTTTTCAGAACTACACATAGAACTAAAATGAGATTTATCACTGTCTCTGGGAGACAATCAGCTTTTCTGGACATTTCCTACAGAATCCATCCATTTTCTGATTGAGGGTTGAAGTGTGTTCCATGGCAGGGCCAGCTAACCCCGAACACATCTCTGGAACAAAGAGGAGAATGGTCTCATTGCCTGTTTAGTGATATCTGTCTGCTTAAAATCACAGTGGATGCAAAGAGAGGGCATTTTAGTTTTGAAATGGATGACCTGTTTGCACCTGGGAACAGAAAGGCCAGTAGAGTCTGCAGTAGCACAGAAAGGCAGCACAGGGCGCTCCAACTAAAAAAAACAACAAACCTCTTACAGATTATGTCACAAGGTTGAGAAGTCCCCTGAAAATATTTGAGGGTCTCTAGAATCTCTAATTGAAGGAGGTACTCCATATACTAAAGCAGACCATAGGAGAGGTGGCTAATTTTTCAAATGCCAAAAACTAACAAAAGATAGCAAGGAATACAAAAAACAAGAGAGAAAAACTCAATCAATGAAACAATCTCCAAAAACTGACCTAGAAGATATAGAGATAGATGGGACTGGGGTTGTGGCTCAGGGGTAGAATACTTGCCTCGCCCGCATGAGTCCCTGGGTTCAATCCTCAGCACCACATATGAATAAACAAATAAAATAAAGGGATTATGTTCATCTACAACTGAAAAAAAAAGTTTTTTTTTAAGAAAAAGTTAGATGAATTACCTGACAGAATTTTCAAAATAACCAGCAGGAGGACACTCAATAAATTAGAACAGAGCACAGAGAGGCCACTAAACACAGTCAGGAAAACAGTGCATGGACCAAATGATAATATTGACAAAAAGATGGAAATGATGAAGAAAAACCAAACAAATGCTGGAACTGAAGAATACCAAAGCTGAATTGAAGAAAATCACTAGGGAAACTCAACAGCAGCCTTGACCAGGCAGAATAAAGAGCCTGTGAGCTGAAAGTCAGGTCATTCAAAATCACCAGTACAGAGGAGAGGTAGGGAAAATGAAGAAAAGTGAAGAGAGCCTAAGGCATTTATGGAACTTTATTAAGTGGAACAACACACACATCATGGGAGCCAAAGAAGGAAAAAAAAGAGAAAATTCCGTCAGTCTGTTGGTAGAAATAATGGCTACAAATCTGAAGAAACAAATGGATATATGAGTATGAAACTCAAAAAATTCCCACTATGGGCTGGGGTTGTGGCTCAGTGGTGGAGTGCTTGTCTTGCATGTTTGAGGCGCTGGGTTCGATTCTCAGCACTGCATATACTTAAATGAATAAAATAAAGGTCCATCAACAACTAAAAGAAAAATTAAAAAGAAAAAAAACTAAAAACTCCAACTAGGATGAAGCTTAAGAGATCTCTACTGCAGCACAACATGACCAAACTGTCAAAAGTCACAAAGGGAGAATCTTGAAGGCAGCAAAAGAAAAGCAACTTGCAACATATAAGGAAGCTTTGATTCAATTACGAGAGGATTTTTCAGCAAAACCTTCAAGACTATTAAGAAGTGAGATAATATATTTGATATTAAAAGAAATCAACCATAGTATCTCCAGCAAAACTGTCCTTCAAAAACCAATGAGAAATTAAGACATTCCCAGATAAACAAAATCTGGGGGACTTTATCACCACCAGACTTGGCCTACAAGAAATGCAGAATGGAGTCTTTCAAGTTTAAGCAAAAGGATGATAAAGAGCAACAAACCCTATGAAAACATAAAGTTTCCTGGTAAAAGTATATATATAAATGTAAGATCCTATAGCATCAAAATATATCTGCACAAACCACTTTTAAATGTGATGTGGAATTTTTTAAGCATAAAATTAATCATAAATCTGTTGATAAATATACAATATAAAAAGAGGTAAATTGTGTCATTGATACACTAAAGGAGAAAGAGACAGAGATGTAAAGTAACAGTTTTACATGTGATTGAAGTTAAGTGGTTATCAGCTTAAAATAATAGATTGTTGTATTATGTAATTGCAATGAGAACCATAAAGAAAATATAACCAATGTGATCCAGAATCTGTACACATGGAAAAATTAAGAATTCATACCCCATTTGAATCAAATGTATGATATATGATATGTCAAGATCATTGTAATGTTTTGAGCAACTAATAAAAAAAGAAACAATGCAAATATACATTAACGAATGAATGAATAAAGAAATGTGGTGTATCCATACAATAAAATATTACCCTTTAAAAAAAAGAAAATATCTATAAAATGCACAAAAAGAAAAATGAGAAGGGAATCAAAATATGTCTGATTAAAGAAATTCTCTAATTAAAAAAAAAACTAGGCCAAAGAGTTTTAATTCAAATTCTACCCAAGAAATTAGATGAATTTCTGAATTATATAATTTTTTTCAGAGAACAGAAAAAGAGGAAATAATCCACATTTTAAGAATCTAGTGTTACTTTGATACCAAAACTGAACAAGAACAATACAATAAAAATGTTGCCAAATGATGTCATTTATAAACTCCTAACAAAATGTTAGCAAGTTCAATCCAACAATGTATAATTTTTAAAATACCATGACCAAGTTGGTTATTTCACAACTGAACAAATGTCTTACCATTAGAAATTCTATTGATATAATTCACTTAATTAACAAAGCAAACGTCATATGAACACCAGTAGAGACAGATAATATAGATATATGTTACAGATGACTGGGAATTGTAAAGTCAGGAGGATTTTAAGTCACAATCGTATAAAATGAACTTGTATACCCTGCTGAGGAGTATAAGTATGGTACAATCCCCTTGGCAAACAATTTAGTAATATTTAATAAAACTAAACACTGTGCTGCTCAGGTTCACATTATATTCAATAGAAATATAGGGTAAGCCACAAAAGTGAGACACATATATGATCTTAAATTCTCTAGTAACCATGTTTTTGAAAGTAAGAAGAAACAGATGAATGGATAAATAATACACGGTATATATACACAGTGAAATAATATTAAGCCATAAAAAGAATGAAATTCTGTCACTCATGACAATATGAAAGAACCTGGAGACTATTATGTGAAATAAGACAAACACAGAAAGACAAATGCTGCATGATCTCACTCATATGTGGAATTCAAAAATGTTGCTCTCACAGAAGTAGAGAGTAGAATGGCTTAGGTGTTTAAGGGGAGGAAAGGAAAGAGGGATGTTGGCCAAAGGATATGTAATTATAGTTAGAGAGGAGGAATGTAAAAAAACAGAAAAAAGGAAAAAAAAAATGTCCTGAATAAGCAAATGTTTGAACACTGAAAGTAGATTAGTGACTGCCCAGGGTGGAGATTAGGTGATGGGGTGGGGGACCCATGGAGAACAACTACTCATGGTTTGGGCATTTCTTTCCTAGGTGACAAAAATGTTCCAAAACAGTACAAAATATCAATTACATATTGATTAATATATAATTACTAATTGTATATCAATTGCATATTGTCAATTACATGTAATTAATTATATGAAATTAATTGCATATTAATATATGATAAATATCATATGTTACTTTCAGATGATACATATATAAAATAATAATTCATTTCTCATACTAAGCTCTTCAAATCCCACATGTATTTTACACCTAGAGTTCATCTCAATTCAAACTAAATGCATTTCAAGTGTTCAACAGCCACTTGAATGGCCCCACTTCGGCTTAGCTTAGGACTAGACAAACCCTCACTCTGGCAAACTAGGGAGCTGACAAGGGTCACTTCAGCATCGTTTATAGTAAGAAGGAGGAAGGAAAGAAGGAAGGAAGGAAGTCAGTCCCCATCAGTAGAACAAATCAGTAAAGACCTGTGAAAATGAATCAACTGGGGCTACAAATATCCACCTAATATAGTCGAATCTTGTAAACATAATGCTGAATACAAAACAAGTTATTCAAAAGAATAATGAACAAAAAAGTCTACACGCAATGAAATCGCTAGTATATGGGAATGATGAACACCTAATTCAAGGCAGCAGAACTCCCCTCTCAGGAGACCAGGGGCTGTGCTCGGAGAAGGTACTTAGGAGGCACCAGGGAATTTAGTAATAGTATGTTTTTTATACTGGGAGGTGGAATTAGAGGGTGTTACTTGGATTATTCCCTATGCCTTTGTAAATATGTCTTCAGATTTTATCATCAGTGTTTAAAAGCAAGGTTCAGAATACTCTGACTTCACGTGGTAATCAAATGGTACACGTCAAGCCTGTCTCTGGGCAAATCACTTTGCTTATCTGTTTCTCCATCTATTCATGAGATCAGAGTCCATGGCCCCTACTATGTGTTCCTGTCTTAATATCCTTTTGATCAGCAATTCCACTCTTCCACATACCTCTGTGGCTCCCGAAATAATCCTGGAGAAGGGACAGAGCTGCCTCACAGGGTCGTATGGGTTGTGTCCACACAAACCTGGGATTCGACTCCCACCCGGCCACCAAGCCCTTCACCATGGAGAGGGGCATCTCTCAAGGCAACGTGTCTTTGCCTAATTGACATAAAGGTTCTCCAGGGACTGTGGTGCTTGGGAGGGAATGTGCTCTGGAAACAACTGCATGCCTCAGCTGAGTGCACAGCCTATCAGCCGCCTGACCTAACCCTATTGAGCAAACCCTGGAAGGAAGCCTGACTCTCCGTCCTTGCAAATGAGCCACACAATCAACCTACCTTTTGAGATTATGAAATGAACAGCTCATAGTGCTACTGATTTGAGTGGATTTTCCGAAGGCAGGGGGCTGGACTACCGACTGCCATCAGAGCAGTCGTGCCCTTCCTGATAGCTCTGATCATCCCTGACCTAATGGCCATCATCCTTCCCCATACTTGGGCAGACTGGGCAAGGCATGCTAGAATACTGAAGCTGGGGAGACTCCAGGAGATCAATGGTCCTGTGCTAATATTTTTTTTAAATAAGTTCCAAAACATGAATGAAATTCAGTGATAGTCTCACCTGCTACTACCACCACCACCGGTGAGTTCGCAGTGTTTTCCAGATCCTCTACTGCTACTACACAGAGGGCCAAAGAAGATAAATGACTCGTTCAAAGTAGCATAGTTCTTAAGTGCCTGAGCCAGCACTTGAACCCAAACGTGTTTAATTCCAAAACCCATCCATTCTGCTCTGAGGGCTCTTCAGCCCAATAGCGCTCACAGAGGTCATTGTTCATTAATGCTTCTTCTTAATATTAAGTGTTTATTGTTGTTGTATAATCTAGTGCTGGCTCTGAAGTGGTTTGTCCCCTAGGAGTTCACGAGCTGGAGGCTTAGTCCCCAGTGCAGTGATATTAAGAGGTGGTGGAACACTAAAGAGACCCAGTGAGAAGTGGTTAGACTGCTTGAGGCACTGCCCTCAGAAAAGATCAATGCTAGTCTCACAAAGCGAATTAGTACTCTTGAGAGTGGGTTGGTTATGAAGCAAGGTCAGCCTGCAAACTTGGTCCTTTCTGCATGCAACAGTTTCTATTCTCCTTATCCACCTCATTGTAATGCATAGAAGGGGTTATCACTAGAAGCCAAACAGATGGAGCCACCCAATGTGGATTTTCAGCTTCTAAAATTGTGAGCTAAATAAAGAAATTCCTTTCTTTATAACTTATTCAGCCTCAGTTATTTTGTTATAACCACAAAAAAATGGATGAATACAGCCAGCAACATCATTTACCTACAGTGATTATTATTGCTTGATAATAGTAAGTGTGAGATGTTTCCTCTTTCATGCTTTTCCCACGCCTTTTCCCCAGTGATCCCACACCTAATAAGTAACCAAACTGACGATTATAAAGCATGTGTCCCACCTCTTTTTCTTCAACCTCTTTTCTGGAGATTTCTGTGTCTTTTTCAGAATAAAATACCTGATGGGGAGAAAATATTGCAGTGGTCAGAACAGAGAAAACCTCACAAACAATCAGTCAGGGGAAAGTGGATGCTTGTTTAAAAGACCTCCATGGATACAGGTGACATTTATCCCCTTGCTAAGGTCATAAGAAGGTCTAGGTTGCCCCTGACCCCTTCAGAGCAGCCTTTGCACGTATTCGTTCATGCATTCGTCTTTGGTGTCATTTATGTCAGGTGATGATGATGTCACTTCTCCCAATAGTTTTTTGCTTTTCAGGTTCTATCTTGAATTATGAGAGTAGTGACTTGGACAGGCCACTCACGCAGCCCCCACCCAAAGGAATGTCAAGCATCAAGGAGCAGATGGCGTGATGGCATTTGGAGAGGGCAGAGAACTTCCCTGATGGACCTGAAATTCCTCCCTGTCTTCACGGGCTTTGCTCCTGGCTTACAGGTAGAGATGAGCGTGTTTTCAAGGTGATTCTCGAAGGCTGGTCCCCAGACACAACCTGTGCGTGGAAAGCAAAGGCAGCCCCTACCTTCTGTAACTGGGAGGCTGTGGCTCCTCGTGTCCCCAGGAGGAGCATGCCAATGGCAGTTGAGATGCCCACGGGGGAAAAGAAGATGTTGCCATCGTTTGTTTTCCTCATTTCTTTGAGAAGATCAAGCCCCAGATGAATGTTTGCGGCACTGAGCGACTCCATGGCGGTTTTGGTTTCCGTGAGATCTAGAACAGCAACAGCAGTCAGTGGACTGAACTGCTGGGTGCCACGGGAACTCTCCCTGCATTGACCCAGAAAATGGGGATTCTCACCCTCTGGGTCCAGGTCATGGCTGGCTACCTCTTACCCTTCTGTTGGCCTCTCCTGATGGAAGACGTGAGTCACCTGGAGTCTGACACCATCTAGTAGCTCGCAGTTAACGCCTTAATGGTTTAATTCTCTCTTGTTCTCTGTCAGAACCTGCCTGCTCTGCCCCCCACCGCCTCCTCCTCCTCCTCCCTCCTCCTGCTTGGCTTCTCCAGGCAAACCCAGCTCTGTCCTCCCAGGCCCAGCCTGTGCAGCAACACAGGGTCCAGGAGGCAGAGGAATCCCCACTGGCCTCAAGTCCAAGCAGCCTGGACCACAACGAAGCCAGGACTCCTGCCTGTAGCTGGTGCTGTCTGTCTCTCAACTGAGCCAGAATCCAGCCCAGAGAACAGCGACCTCTTAAACTCCAACCCCAGCTCCAGGAAAACTTGACTCTGGGTAAAATTTTCACGGAAGGTCAATGAAACATCTCTAGGAGTGGATTATTAGGTGGAGCGGGGAGGTTTTCTTTTTTTATTTGATTTTTTTCTGTATAGTTTCAGGCTTGTTTGGTAAATATTACTTTTGTTATCTCACTTATTTTTTTCAGAACTGGGGATTGAATCCTAGGGTACTCTGCCCTTTTTATTTTTATTTTGAGACAAGGTCTTGCTAAGTTTCCCAGCCTGGGCTCAAACTTGGGATCCTCCTGCCTCAGCCTCCTGAGTATAGGATTATGCATGTACCTCCATGCCCAGCACAAAAAATAATAAAAATTTCTAAAGATCAACTAATATTTCTCTAACAGAAAAGTAGAACATGCTTTTTTTTTTACATTTCTTAATCACCAGCAACTTTATAACTATTTAACAAAGGCTTTAAGAAGAATCCGAAAACAAGAATAAAATAAATGCAAAATAAATTAATGCACATATTTTGGGAAGCTGGGAGGTTTATCTCTGCTAAGACATCCTATGAAAACTGTTATGTCTTCAATATCAACCTCAGGTTTCCTATAGGAATTCCTCATAGGTTTTACTCAGAAATAAAATGAATTAATTTAGGTTAAACAAGATGAAGAGGGCTGGGATTGTGGTTCAGCAGTACAGCACTTGTCTAGCATGGTGAGGCCCTGGGTTCAATCCTCAGCACCACATAAAAATAAATAAATAAAATAAAAGTATTGTTAAAAAAAATAAGATGAAGATACATTGTTATGGTCATGCAGGCCAGAATTAAATAAAGCCGCCTAAAGAAAAGTCTATGCACAATAAAAAGTACTTCTTTCAAATTGATAAACATTCATATTCTCAAAACACAGAAGTCTTAAGTTAGCTAAAAGAAGAACTTACCTGGCTCTTGGAGAGACTGATGTGGTTGCACAAGGAACTAGGAAGCTTATGTGAAATGAGCAGCTCAGATCCTTCATTTATAGCTCTTGTCTCTGCCTCTCCCTAGTCATTACAGTTTGTATTTCCAGTGAAACAACATTTGGTTTCTCAATGATAATTTCCCTAATAAAAATATCATGCAAGGTTTATGACAAAACTGAGGATTTAATTCCTTATATCTTCATTCTTGGCCATGAAGTCATTCACTTGAAGTTGTGAGCAGCTGTGAATCAACTATAGTTCACAGAGTATGCACTTTAGACACAGAGGGAGTGAGTTGTTTAAATTCTAACTCCAAAATCCTTTAGGAAAAAAAAAAATTGGGGGAATGAGGGCAGGAGGTAGCTGGGGATTTAACCCAGTGGCCAACCTTTTTAGTTTTCATTTTGAGACAAGGTCTCACTGAGTTGTTTAGGGCCTCCTGACTCAGTTACTGAGACTGGCCTTGAACTTGCAATCTTCCTGTCTCAGCCTCCCGAGCAGCTGGGATTACAGGTAGAAGTTCTTTTTTTTGGAGCTTGAGCATAAAGAGATCCAAATTAACCACAGAACAAAACAAGAATTAAAGCAGGAGCTCGAAACCAAACAAGGACTAAGGGTAGAAATAGAATATCCAGGTCAAATGAATTATGACCCACGGGTGGAGGCTGGAGGGAGCCTTCATTCCTAGTGATACTGGGGACCCTCTGGAAATAACTGTTTAGAGCAGTCGTTTTGCACCTCGGAAGGACATTAAAATATCCCAGGGAACTTAAAAAAAAAAAAAACAGACTACCTGAGCTAGCATCTCTGGAATGGGAATATTTACAGGCATCCACATTTGTATCACCCCAGGTGACTGGGTTATGCAGCCAAGGTTGGGAACCACTGGTTTATATAGTCTGATGAAGACATGAATTAAAGGCATACTTGAGTTACCACAGATGAACAGAGTCATGTCCTGACAAGCCATTCTCCATGATAAAGCTAGTTTTTGCAGTTGCATTACTTTGGGATGCCATGTGCAAAGAAGAAAATGAAAAATGTCTTGCTAGAAAAGGACCAGAAAAAGGAGCATGTGGCTCTCATACACACACACACACACACACACACACCACACAAAACCACATTTGTTCTCATGTATTCTGTCCATTAATTTAAAACATTTATTTCAATTCATTCAATAAATATTTATTGAGTCTAGATGCACCACACCCTGTGTTACGTACCAATAATGTGTAAATATCCAAAAACCTCCCTAATTTTAGGAAAAGAATATTACTAAAGAACAAAACTTCACAGGAAATTACACCTCCAGATTCCAGTTTTTCCTGCCAACCCTGGGGCATCCCCACTGGCTCTGCTAGTTCATTAAAAGAAACAGCATTTGGATTAGTCTAGATCTCAGTAGGGTGTGAAGATTTATCATTGTTGCTAAACAACAAAAGCAAGGGCATCTCGCTCCCCCGTTGCCTGAAGAAGAGCAGCCTTAGGGGTGGATCCTGCTGGTGCCGCTCTCCATACTCAGTTTCCTTTCATTTTTTTTAGTAAACTCAATGCAGTATACAATTAGCTTTGTGGGGTTTTCTAGTTGTCACTAAGAAATATGCAAATTGAGTAAGGTGTAGAAAGAGTTAACACTTAGCTATAAAATAAACCCTGGATGCCAATGAAATAGAGACCTTAGTTTTATAAAACGGCATGAAATCCTTGCGTTGACAATAATGCTCCGTATTTTAACATTCCTATCAGTCTGTGTCTTCCCTGTCCTTTCTCTGTGGCCCTCTCTGTCTCATTGCATAGCTCTGTCCAGGCGCCCTCTGTTCTTTTCTGAAGCCTTTCCTCCTGGCCCTTTCTCACAGACAAACCTGGCCTTCCCCTGAGGACAACTATGTCCCACAAAGTCTTCTCTGGGAACAGCCACCACTACCTTGGGATGGGGAAGCAAGGTCCCCTTTCCTTGTCTGCCCCCTGCTCTTGCTTTTCCAAGCCTTTCTTCCTTGCATTGCCTCCATGTCCCCTTGGAGAGTTACACTTGTATTGCCCCTTCCCGAACTATAGGGCCAAGGGTGCTCCGCACCCGGCCTCCCTGTCCACCCTGAGTGCCACCAGCACCAGCCATGTGGATGGCCTCTCGCTTCCCTGACCTGGCCTTGCCTCTCCTGTGGCAGCCCACTCCAGGGGTCGTGCACTAGCTATTTTCATCACCAGGACCTGCTCCATCCTGCTGGGCACTGAAGCCCCTCCAGCCCGTCCCAGACCCCTTCCATATGCTCTCTGAGTCTAACTGTCAGAATCTTCACAACCCCAATCTTGGGCTCCCACTACCCTTCTATTTTATCTGTCTCTTCTTTCTGGTTGTAAAACTGCCCCAGTTGAAGAAAATATTAAATGCCTGAGGTGTCCCCTGGTTGAGGGGAGGAGTGGTGCGTGATTAAAACCATAAAAATAGTTCCTGTGCTTCTGAGTAAGGAAAGGAGATAGTCCCGGAAGCAGAGTTCTGACGATTTCCCCCCTGCCCCATAACTCCCTGTCCTGGTGCAACCTCTGCATGTCCGTTACTGATGCTGATTGTAGCATTTACTTCTTCAAGCCGGTAATGTGGTGTGTGTGTCTTTCCCAGCCCTGCACCTATCACCCTGCATCTGCCACCGTTGCTATTTAGGCTGATAGTACAGAGCTTCCTTTTCTGGGCCCAATGACTCTCAGCTAAAGGGACTTACCTGTCTGGAAGCCACGCACCACTCCTCCCCTCAACCAGGGGACACCTCAGGCACCACTGGTTGGCATGAGGGTATGAAAAGACCCCCTCACAGCAGGTGTGACTTGGTAGTGCAAAGTCTGCTCCCATGGGATCAGCCAGAAGCCGACTTCCAGCTGAAATCCCATGATCCATTCACATTTTTCCCTTGCCCTGTCCTGTTTTTCTCCAAGAAACATCTCCTCCTCCTAGAAAAATTATCTGAATAAAAACCATTGTCTTTGCTTTGTTTCTAGGGCACCTGACCTCAGGTAAAGCGTTTGGACATCTGGCCCAAGCCCCTCATTGTTTCTTGCTTTCCAAAATTCCTCCACAGTTCTTGTAATTATCCTCCCTTAGGTATACTTTTTCATGGCTTGTCAAGATCTTTGGACTTAAATTGTAGCCTTTTAGAATTAACCCATTAAGTGGGAAGATTGTTATTTTTATATATTGAACAAGAAACATATCATCTTATGCATCCTTAAATAGAGTTTATAAATAGAAATGAAGAGAGAAAAAAACTACTTTTCTCTTTGTGATCAAAAACATAGAGTCTGAGGATGTAGCTCAGTGGTAAAATGCCCAGGGTTCAATTCCCAATACTAAAAAAAAAAAAAAAAAAAAAATTAAAATTAAATATGAGTTTAAGAATTTCTGGAATGTAAGTTTATATGCATTAATTTTAATTGTATATGCAAATCTTGATCAAAATAAAATCTTGATTACAGTAATATTTTACTTCAAATAATTTAAAGTTAATACATTGAATCCAAAAGAAAGAATTGCAATCTTGGTTCGATTTTTGGCTGATAAATATTAATACACACATACAAAAAACAATATGCCCACTATTACTGCCTTCATTCAGAATTGAAGCAGGCATCCTAGCAAGCAAAATAAGGCAAATAATTAATTAAATAATTAGTTAATTCCCTAAAGACCTAGAAAGAGCATGCTACAGGGACACTGCTACATCGATGTTCATAGCAGCACAATTCACAATAGCTAGACTGTGGAACCAACCTAGATGCCCTTCAATGGATGAATGGATAAAAAAAATGTGGCATTTATACACAATGGAGTATTACTCTGCATTAAAAAATGACAAAATCATAGAATTTACAGGGAAATGGATGGCATTAGAGCAGATTATGCTAAGTGAAGCTAGCCAATCCCTAAAAAACAAATGCCAAATGTCTTCTTTGATATAAGGAGAGTAACTAAGAACAGAGTAGGGATGAAGAGCATGAGAAGAAGATTAACATTAAACAGGGATGAGAGGTGGGAGGGAAAGGGAGAGAGAAGGGAAAGTGCATGGAAATGGAAGGAGACCCTCAGGGTTATACAAAAGTACATACAAGAGGAATTGAGGGGAAAGGGAAAAATAATATAAGGGGGACAAACGAATGTCAGTAGAGGGGGCAGAGAGAGAAGAGGGGAGGGGAGGGGAGGGGAGGGGAGGGGAGGGGAGGGGGGATAGTAGAGGATAGGAAAGGCAGCAGAACACAACAGACACTAGTATGGCAATATGTAAATCAATGGATGTGTAACTGATGTGATTCTGCAATCTGTATATGGGGTAAAAATGGGAGCTCATAACCCATTTGAATCAAATTGTGAAATATGATATATCAAGAACTATGTAATGTTTTGAACAGCCAACAATAAAAAATTTAAAAAAATAAAAAAAAATAATTAGTTAATTGTTTAAAAGATAAAAGGATTCAAAAGGAAAAAGCAGACTATCATTCACAAAAGAATTGAGACATTTAGAGTTAAAAAGCCAGTTTAACAATATTATTTAATGCAAGATCAAAATAAAAATCAGATATTTTAATAAACTAGCAATATGTTTTAGAATTTTTAAAAATATACAATTTAAAAGTATCAAAAAGTTATATAAGATAATGTATGTGTTAATTAGCTATAATTAGTTATTACACACACACACACACTCACTCACAATCATGCTGTACCAAATAAATACATACAATTTAACGTGTCAATTTAAAACATAAAAAAAAAATCACATACTCTTGTATGTGATTTTGGAGGAATCTATTTTGTTTTAATTATGGTTTAGAAGATTCAATACTATAAAGATATCCATCTTCTCAAAATCACTCAATCTAAATCACAGGTTTCATTTTTCAAAAATTTAGCCACTGACTTCAAATTAATAAGAAATATTCAAAGGCCAGGAGTTACCAAGACACTTCTGAAGGAGGAGGAGGCGGAGGTAAGACCTGTTCTCTCAGATAGCAAGAGTTATTATTAAATAATTAAGTCAGTCTGGTTTTGACAAAGGATAGGCCAGAACAGAGACCCAGAAAAGCATCAGTACAGATGTGAATACTTGTTTAAAAAGAAAGAAAACAAGTGTTGCTACAGAACAACGAGAAAGGAGTGGCCTTTACACTAAATTGTGCTGATCCCATTGGACATCCACAGGAGAAAAAAGAAATCTGGACTCCTACTCTGCACCATAAATTTGCTAAATGGATTGAAGAGATAAATGGAATATATGAAAGCATTTGCAGTAACAGTAGAGATTAACAAATAGTACTACATAAAATTTATACACATTCACTAATCAAAAGACACTATCAAAATCGAAGATATATATACCGATGACCTGGTAATTCCACCTGAGGTATACACCCAAAGTAAATGTGAGCTCAGGGCCCCCAGAGGCATGTACACAAAGGTTTATAGCAGCATTATTCATGATAGCCCAACCCCAGAACCCAAATGTGCAGCAACGGTAAATGCAAATAAATTATGGAATGTTCACGTAGTTAAAACTCTACATAGCGATGACAACAAAACAGAAGAATTTTACAAACAAAATTGGAAAAAAAGAAGACAATTAGAAAAGAATACATACAGTATGGTTATACTTACAGAAATTTGGAAAGTGGGCATAACTAAATGAAAGGATTACAAGTCAGCATGCTGGTTACACTTTGAAGAGAAGGAAGAAAGTGATAATTAGAAAGGGACACAAGGTGGGTACTTTTGAGTGATGATAATATTCTCTTTCTTTATTTGTGAGGTGGTTGCAGTATATTCACTTCATGACAGTTTAGTAAACATATGTTCATATTTTAATATTTCCCTTTTAGCGTTATTCCAAAAATTTCTCACTAGGTTTGTTCATAGACATTTTATAGTTTTGGTGCTTCTGTGAATATGGGTTTGGGTTTTTCCACTCATTTACTTATTCAACAAATATTTTTTAAATATCTACTCTGAATCAGATGCTAGTTTAAGTAATGAAGTACATTCATGAATATGATAAAAGATTCTTATTTCTCTTTAAATATTCATTCTATTAGGGAGATGCTTACAATAAGTAAATAACAAGGTAACATTCAACAGAATTAAATGCTATAAATTAAAAAAATTATTTCATCTGTCAGTAGTTATTACTGAGCATTGGGGGTCAGATCTAGATAACCATGGTAAAGAATATTCTTTGGGTAAATTTTCTGCTAATCACTTGGATTTTCTAAAGATGATCCTAAAATCTCTGAACAGTGTCAGTATATTTTTACCAATATTTATTCCTTTGATAGAACTTTGCCAGAGTGTCACAGAAGCCACTTAATTTCAAACCTGTGAACACACAGATCAACAAGATAGCAAGTAAGGCACCATTTTTTTTAATTTCCCTGTGTAAGATCATATATATATATATTTTTTTCACCCATATTGTCACATGAAGATTTTTATGAATATTTATATTTCTCCATATTAATCTTTTTTGATTGTTTTTTAAAAATTTCTTGGTTTTTATTACATTTTTAAAATTTATTTTAATTAGGTATGTATGACAGTAGAATGTATTTTGATTCATTGTACACAACTGCAGCACAACTTTACATTTCTATGGTTGTACATGATGTAGCATCGCACCATAAGTGCAGTCATAAATGTACCTAGGGTAATGATGTCCATCTCATTTCACCATCTTTCCTACCCCTATGCCCCCTCCTCACCCCACCCTCCCCTTTGTCCCATCAAAGTTCCTCCATTTTTCCCATGCCCCCCCCCTTTATGGATCAGCATCCACTTATCAGAGAGATCATTCGGCCTTTGGTTTTTTGGGATTGGCTTACTTTACTCAGCATGATATTCTCCAACTCCAGCATTTACCTGCAAATGCCATAATTTTATTCTCTTTTAATGCTGAGTAATATTCCATGGTTTCTTTATTCATTCATCTATTGAAGGGCATCTAGTTTGCTTCCACAGTTTATCTATTGTGAACTGAGCTGCTATAAACAGGATTTGGGGGAAAAGGCACACTCATTTATTGCTGGTGGGACTGCGAATTGGTGTAACCAGTCTAGAAAGCAGTATTGAGATTCCTTAGAAAACTTGCACTGGAACCACCATTTGACCCAGCTATCCCATTCCTTGGTCTAAACCCAAAGGACTTAAAATCAGCACACTATGGTAACGCAGCTACATCCATGTTTATAGTACCATTTATTTTTTAAACTGCACTTAACTATTCCAACAGAAGAGGGCAATCTTGAACCAAGTAAACAAAAGGAGGCACAGAAAGTACCTTCACACAGCTGCCAGTCATTTTTAGTCGGGAAATGCTTTGTATGCACAGGAAAAATAAGTGCCAAAAAATATTCCCAATTACTATGAAAAGAAAACAGTGGAGCAACACCTTTCAGCTGAAGGAAATACTCCCCAATAAATCAATCATGAGGGGGCAAAGCTGCAACATAACACTACCCCATGGACTAAATATCATTTAAAAAGCAGCTATGACCCTGAAGAATACCACAAATCATAATTTCAGAGTGGACATAAATAGCACTCCCCCAAACACACACACACACACACACACACACACACACACACCACAATGGAATAACACCATTGGCTGCCCAGTCTTGGAGACTTGGAGTCATGCTCATATCAGGAGTCACACCACCACACACACACACACACACACACACACACACACACACACCTGCACTCACCTGGTGGTGCACTCACCTGGTGGTTAGCCTTCCGTCTTAGCCTGGACTATGCCACAGGCGGCTGTCCTGACTATCCAGCTGGCAGACGGCCATTGCTGGAACTTCTTAGCCTCCATAGTCACACATGGCAGTCCCTCATGAATTCTCTCTCTCTCTCTCTCTCTCTCTCTCTCTCTCTCTCTCTCTCTCTCTCTCTCTCTCCATCATTGCTAGCCATATCCCAGATTTTCTTCACCACTTCATTTTTAGGTTTTTTTGGACTGGAACTTCCAGACATTCCTTTAGGTTAAAGGTGACAGGTAGGAAACTTGAAGTCCTTGTTCATGCAAGTTGCTCTCACACTTGAATACCCACAACTTGTATGGGAAAGACAGTTGACTTTCATAATGTTTTCCTCAGAACTTTAAAATAAGGTTCTTTCTTCTTGTAGGACCAAAGAGAAACCAGAGCTCAATCTGATTCTCATTCCATTTTATAAATTCTATTTCTTGTAACTCACGAGCTTTTAGAATACTTTCTTTTTTCTTTGATCCTCTATAATTTTGCCAGGGTGGAAATATGATTGTTTTTAATTTCGTACGTATTAAGGAACTTCATTCCCTCAATTCTTTCTCTTCTTATCTCTGAAATGTCCATTAATGAATGTTGGAACTTCATATACTACTTCAAATGGCTCTTAACCTTTTTAAGTACTTTCTATTGCTTTACCTTTTTATTCTTTTTTTTCCCAGAACTCCAAAACTCAATCTTCCAGCTGACCTTCAGCTGTGTGCACTCTGATACTCAGTCTATTTACCGATCATTTGTAATAACTAAGTTAATCCCAGAAGCTATAAATGAATCTCTTAATTCCCTGGCCTTATTTGATGGATGTTATTAATCTTATTATTTACATGTTTAAAGTCTCTTGTTTGACCTAGTAACTCAGCTGAGGTTGATTTCCTCACTATGTTGTATTCTTCACTCATTTGGAAGGCTTATTTTTTCATTCAATCTCCTCATTAGGGGGCCAGTGCATGCCCTTTAGGGGTTTTCCACGGCTGGCCTTCACAGTTTGGGAATGGGAGAGACTGGGTGTGCTCTTAGACAAGTGGACCATGGCTTCAAACCTTGCATGGAAACTTCTCTCTAATATTGCCTGGCTGCTGCTATTGCCACCTTATAAACAGCAGCTTCCTGAGTCCTCTATCCACAATCTTTAAGAACCAGCATTCTCTAAGACTCTACTCCACCACCCAGAACTTTACCTTGAATAAGTTTTTAGCTTCACAGTTCGCATATGTAGAATTAAAAAAAAAAATGGAAGCAAATAATCCTTTGTGTTCTTTACTTCTATTTGGAAAGATAAAGTAGTGGTTATCTCTCAACTGTAAGACATCCAGCCAGACAGCCTGGTTCAAATCCAGGGTTAACTATTTGCTTCCTGTGTGACTTTAAGGCAATTACTTATCATCAGTTCACCGTGAACAATAATAAAAACTTACTTCTCCGAATAACTGAGAGGATTAAATGTGTTATTGCCTATGAAGGTCTTTGACCAATTTTGGCACTCAACAAGACCATAGCATTAGGTGTTACCACTGTTCCAACTCAGAGATTTCAGGGCTGGAGTTTATTCAGAGTATTGAAACTCATCCCATGCCTGGATCCAACATTAAAAAAGAAAGAAAGAAAGAAAGAAAGAAAATCAGTGCTAACAGAAAGAGTTACCGCTTCCAAAAAATTTTAGGCATAGTGAGAATTTTAAATAAGAAATTTATCTTTTTTTACTTTGATTATAAACTGAGGTCATATTTTTACTGAAGGGATTTTGATGCTGGATTTTTGAGTCTTGGCTGTATTAGATTCACTCAAAGCAACATGCATTTAATTTTAGTTTCTGTGATGTTTCCAGCATGGTGCCAGGTATTGGGAATTTAAATATAACAACACTCACACAGAGAAGTATGTCTGAAAACAATTTTCTTTTGTATTTTCACACAGACCAATTTGACCAATATGAAATTGTTTAATCATGTATTTTCCCTTCATACCTGTAGACTAGGTTTCATTGTGTTCAGAAACTTAACCAAAAACAAAAACAAAAAAGTGTTTGAGTTCTATCTGCTATTTTTTTATCCTTTACACATAAACTATTTTCTTTTCTCCTTAGGTACTGATAGGATTATTTTCTCAATCATTTGTTTTACAATTTTCTTGGCATGTCCATTTTTTATTACTTTTCTTGGAAATCAATAGGTGTAATCAGACAACCAAGAAGGTTTTCTTACATTATGTCTTTGATTATTGAATCCATGCCAGTAATCCGCTTTCTTCCTCAGAAATACCATAATTCTTGGGTTTACTTTCTATTCTTTCTTTGTGTCTACAAACTTCCCTCCTGTTATTTCTTGTATGTTCTAAGAACTTGAATGTGCCCTATTCATCACTAAATTTTCCAGTGAGCCAGTTTTGCTCCTTGACTGCCTTTAAAACCTATTTAAATTCTTCTTGTGTTTTTGATTCCCCTGGCAGTCTTCTAATATTTCAAGAGCATTTATCTAATCTAATCCCATAGATGCCTGGTCTATTGAAATACTATTAAGCATGCCAAAAATTTTTCTAAAATTTTATTCTGCTTCTTGCTATAAATCATTCTTATGAAGTCTCCTTTTTGTGTCTATATCATAATGTATTTTTTCTTACCACTATTTTTTTTTCATAATCCTATATTTTTCCCCATATTTTTCAACTGGATTATGAGATGATCTACTCAGAATGTTTGTGTGTCAATAATGGGTATATGGATTTCTCTCAACACCACTGTTGTTCATCTGAATGCTTTTGAAATCTTTTTTACCCGTCTGTAGCTAAAACTTTGATGCACATGATAGATAACGTTACTTAGAAGGAAAACCTGTTGTATTAGAATGTGACAACTTGCAAATTGAGTCTATAGATTTAATATCCTCAGTTAGAAATATGCATGTATGGGAATTTATTTTGTTATTTTTATTGAGTAAGAAGAAAAAGATTTGGATTATTTAGATTGAGTGCAAAGACTAGGATAAGAAAATGGACTTGGGGAACCAAAAGCCTAACATGAAGAATGAGGATGAAGAATTCACGTGGAATTCATCTTCATTCTTCATGGAGCAAAGAATCCACTGAGACAGCTGCACAGATTCCTCGTTCTGCTGTCCCAGTTGGACCTCTGTTTCATGTTAATGATGTTGTGATTTTGAAGATTCCATGCATGCAAAAGAAGTAAACAGCAATTAGGAATGGAGCAACATGTTCTGGCTTGCCCCAGCTCAAGGGAAAAAGTGGGGAGGAGTTTGAGGGGAGAATATTTATTCAACAGTGTAGGAAATCACAAGGAGGACTTGGGTCAAGATAAAAGAGAACACAGAGTCTGTTTACTGGGATTTTAGGGATTCTGGTCTGTTTGCACAGTGTCAGTGGGCCTGTGGGGGCCTATCCACCCATGGTCCCCTTCCCAGAATAGTCATAGCAATAAGAAAGCGATAGTTTTGTCATCTTCATTACCTTGTTTGTTTTATCAGTCAACATTGCTGGACGGAGGGGACCTTAAACTGAAAAGCAGAGGAGTTTGTCCACCTCATGATTTTCATCTAGTGGGTTTTCTAGCAATCACAGCAACCTACCAACTTGGTGCTCTTTCTGCCTCCAGCTGCCGTATTGCAAGGTCAATCTTGCTAGCACAAAAAAAGCAAAGAAAAGAAGTTCCTTCCTGCCTCGCACCGCCCCACATCACCAGTGACAGATTGTTCTACTCCATCATTAAGTTTCCACAAAGAGAACACTGCAGGGAGAGAATGGAGTTTGTCTCTCAGAGCACAAAGAAGTCCCAAGGTGCCTCAGTCTGGCTGGGCAAATAACTGGGAGGTGACAAGCAACTTGTCAGCATCGGGTCATGTAAAGGTGATCTTCCTGCTCCTAAGTTAACTGCCACAGCCACCCTTAACCAGCACAGGGGCAGCTGGGAGCAGGAGAGTCACAGGCACAGAAGTAAAACTGGACCACAACCCAAATCACAAAAGAGATTGACAAATCACTAGAGTTGCACATGGCAGTGGTCATTCAGGGCCTTTCGCTAAGGGATATCATGAACTCAGAGAGCTCTTCAGAAGAACAGAGCTGGGGGGTCTGGGGTCTGAACACTCAGGTGTCATACTTCCAGTGATCTAGACCTCAGTACGAAGCCACCAGACATCCTGGGAAGGATTCCACATGTGTCAGCCCAGTCACTGGACTTTTCCTACCAGTAGCATCACCAGGCATAAGGCCCCCTGGAAGGGCAAATAGGTCCCTACTGCCAGAGAGCAGGGAGTGGGGAGCCCAGCTGCCCACTACAACACACTGGGCATTTGGCAGCAATGAGCAACAGATGGGAATTCTCTAAGGAAGGGCACAAAGAAGAGACAGGGGAAGTGCTTCATGATACTCCAGCAGTTTTGATAAGAAAAACTGAGACCAAACTTTCAAAATCCTCTTATCACTTTCCTGGGTCAGTGTCAAATTCACAATACAAATATTCTCCCACTATATGCAGAGTGAATGCTGGCTGGGGATTCACACATCCTTGAACTATGGTTTAAATACACCCCCAGATGCCATTTTCTCCCAAGTGAAAAGACCTTCCAGGACATCTTCCATGCAGTGGAAGAAGTAAGAGGAGGAGGCAGGGCCTCTTGCCCAGCAAGGGCCAGGACCATAACTGCTCTAGAACAGAGCTGAGTTTCCCAAACACATTCCAAATGTTTACTCTTGCTATCCCCATGTTGAAGTGGCTTCTGAGTTTTCCATCTCTGAAAGGTACTCTGTCAATGAGCTTTCAGAATTCCTTCATAAGGAGGTAGGTATCTTACATAAAATTAATACCATTCGAAACTGCATTGACCAGGTCACAGAGGGTGAATTTATATGCTTGAAAGTTGCAGGTAGAAGGGGAGAGGGAGGCAGCAAGGGCCCTTCATTAGGAATAAACAGATGAAAATCAGCTTCAGGGTGAAAAAGATCAGGACAAACTTCGGCTGATGGCTGGGGGAGGCAGCTCGGGGCTGGAACAGGATGCAATCAGCTCTGGATAGCAGCAAATGCACAGGTGCCCTCATTACACAGGGGAAGGAAGACCACTGCCACTTTCCTCCCACACCCCAGTGCTGGACAGTGGGTCCCTTCAAGGACTGCAGACCCTGCCACAAAAAAGAATGGTCTGGGTTTTGTTGTGTCTGATGAAAAAGAGAAAAGGCCTGTTGGCGTTGAACTCCACCCAGGACGGCAGTGACTTTTCCATGCCAACCACCCCACTGGCTGCAGCAGCCTGGGTGCCATTTTCATCCACCTCCACGAAGGTCTTGTGCACAATCTTGGACAAGTACAGATTGGTGCTGGGAGAGATTCCCGAGAGGTCAGCCTTCGTCTCATCAAAGATATCCGTAATACCCATGTCTTGCAGAATGGAGTTGAGGTCATAGCTGTCTTCCAGGGTGAACTGGGGGAAGGAGATGGCTACCTTTGCTTCTGACATGTTTTCTGAGCTAGTCCAGGCCCTGAGTTTTTCATAACTTATTTTCCTTTCAAGCTACAAGAGTAAAAAAATAACGTTAAGGATCAGCCTGTAAACCTGCAAAGAATACCCCAATTACTTCAAAGTGCCTAAGACCATTTGACAGTCAGTTACATACAAACTTCAAGGTCTTTCTATAACCCTCAAATGGTCTGATTTCATTTAAAACTCCTCCAAGGAAACCTCTTTCCTCTCTAAAAGTTACAGGACAATTTGGGTTCCACTGTGCTCTGGTGCTTGACAGACTCATGTTCAAAGACCAGCAAAGCTCAGCTGGGTGAGCCTGAGCAAGCCCTAACATTTCAAAGTTAAATTTCTTCTTCTATAAAACAGAGATAAGACATTTATGCTCTCTCAAGGATTGAGCAAAATAACATATGTGAAGTATTTAACAAAGTGCTGGCACATAGTAAATTCTGAATAATCATTGTTACTGTTATTGTGATTACTATAGTGGTATTTCTCTCTCACCTTTTCCCTCATCTATCTTTTTACCCCAGGATAGCCTCCCCAGCCTGCATTAATTCCTTCCTTAAAGTATTTTTGTCAAAGTGTTTGCATTCAAAAACACAATGCAGTTAGAGAGTCTTTAGTTGAACTACAGCAAAGTAGTCTAAGGAAGAGACCAGAAGTCAGCATACTCAGTGAAAAACGGAAAGCTATTTCATTTGTAACAATTCTCAAGTGACTCAGCACTCAGATTCCTTGGTCAGGAAAAATGATTGCAGAAGGCTATGAATTAAGAGATGACACTTCTATTTCAATAGTTTCGGTATGCATTCTTTTGGCTTAAACAAATAAGAAAAGTTATCTAATCTAATTCAAATTGTTGTAAGTCTTCAATATCTCTGGTAGCTAAGATACCATTCTTTCTGAGGTTGGTGGATAATAACAGTATTGTTCTCCAAGGATCTGCAGGTGAACTCAGTACAGACATGAAATGAAGACTCACCTCTTTCAGGCCCTTCCTGTTGTCTGCGGAGCGAGGTGGCAGCAGGACGAACATGCTGACCTTCCCCGTGGTGTACTTCATCTCCAGGACCTGTGCCTGCAGCTCCTCTATGAAGCCGATTCTAAACGTGCCCTTTTGCTTCATCATCTTTACAGTCTTCTCTTCATTCTGTGGGTGACGAGGCAGGAAGTCACAGTTGGCCATGTGAGCTCACAAACCCCATGGTCCCAACTTCCCTGAGAACACGGCTTCTTCAAGATGAGAAGAGTCTGTGCCAGAAGTCCCAAACCATGGTAGCAGCCCCTCCTAGGAGAGCCTCTGTCCATTGAGCAGTCAGTCTTTCCTCCGCCAACAAGGTCTTCCTGTGTTTTTAGTCAGTTCTCAAGACTTTTGTTGGTAGGCTTCCTATCCAGACACCTCCCACAGCCTCGTCAGCCAAAGCAAGCCCAGCAAGCTCCCCTTCTCCTAGGCCTGCTCCAACCCAGTCCCTTGGTCTCGTGCCACCATCTCCTCTGGCCTGGTCGACCCCTCCACGGCACCCAGAGGACCCATGGCTAAATGGTAATCACCCACATATTAAATAACAGCCCCAGGTCCATAGTTTCCTTCAGAAGAAAGGGCACTACCCAGAGCACCCGAGCCTCCCAATAACCTTGAGGTGGGGAAGTCAGCAATCTAGGACACAGAGGGGAAAAAACTGTCCCCAATAACAAAGCAAAACAGCTTACCGGTGGCCGGCTGCCTAGTCTCATCCCAGTGGCTTAGAACATGGGTTTGGGGGTAAACACAGAAGTAACTCCTAATGCATGGCTGAGTAACTTGGCCTTTGCATTTTTCCTTCAACTCCTACATTGTAATAATAGCATCCACTTCATAACGTCATTTTGGAGGACAGAAAAAATGATGAACAGAAAGCAGACAGTGCAGCACCTGGCACAGAATGCCCAAGGAACTTCAGGTGCTGACTTTGGCTCAGCCCTAAGTGCTAGGATCGTAAATGTGAGCTGCAACTCCGAGACCTGCAAACCATTGTTAGGGGACCACATACTGCAAACCATTGTCAGGGGAAAATCACGAATGGAATATCTAATAATCTACAGGCTGTCGTACAAGTACCTCATTCAGAAAGAAAGGTTCATCAACTGTGTTGTCACAGTCAAAACGTTGTTCCCATTTGGCCTTGAAGTACACGGCGTTCACCAACACCAGCACAGTCTTGTCATTGATGGTGTCCTTGCTGAAGAGTTCCTTGATTTTACCTAATAGAGATGCACCGGAGAATATCCTGAGTGTGAATTATGTCATAAGTCTTCATCAAGTCAAGGATTTTTTAATGCATCTTAACATCCCCAGAGTTAGAGTGTCTCGTTTAAGAGCTGACAAGAAAACAAAGTGAGGGTGCTGCAGGTGGAGAAGCAATACAGGTAAAGGGGGGTGAAGAGGAGAGGAACCCCCACTTTGCCCTGAAGGAGGATCCAATCAGACACTGGAACTAAGGGACTCTCCTCCAACTCTCCACTCCACTTTTAATTGGGATTGTCATCAGGTAGCTAGTACCATGGTTCATCTTTCAAGTTAGAGATCCGACCACCTGACTATTTTGGAGTCTCCTTGAGAAAATAGCTATGGTATTAACTGCCTCTTTCAAGCTCTCGTCGTGGCGCAGTATATACAGTCACACACAAACAAATACACACAAAAACGAACTAGGCCTTGATATAAAGCCTCTTTTGTGGGGACTTTCACAAGCCTTCTTTCAGTTCACCCCACATAAGCCATGAGAGGCAGGTACCATTGTCTCTTCTTTATGGAACACAGACTGCGGCAATGAGAGGTGATGCCCAACAGCCAAGAAGCAGCAAGGCCACCTAGGCTCAGCCCTGACGTCTTCCCTCTATTGACCCACAGTACACAGCACTGGGGATGACCAGAAAAGCCCCACATTATCAGGAGCAGCCCCCCCGGGGTGCATCCTTCCACCCCGGTGTACCAAATGACCACTTACTAGAACACAGGCTGAGGTTTGAGAAGGGAAGACCCTTCTACCTCAGGAAGCTTGGGACTTAAATCCCTGAGAAATACCAGAGGTAAGCTGGGCCTGGGGCTGCGTGAGGAAGACTAGAGACAGGAAGCAGAAGCCTGCTGATGGAAGAGAGGGGCACAGGGCATTGCATCAGGTAACAAAGACAACTGAAATAAGTCCACTGCTGTTCCCAGGCTGCGGTCACTAAGAATGTGGGCAGATGCCCAGGGTTACCATCTTACTGTGAAGGCAGAAGTAGCCCTCTACCTTTATCTCAGGTATATGAACATTTTCCTCAACCCCACATGGGCAAGCAAAAAAATGCCTTGGTCTGTGTTCAGCAGTTTGCCTCGGCCCTGTATGCTAAAACCCTTTTGGCCTGAGGGGTTGAGTTCCTTGGGCTTTGCAACCCCGGGGTGCACTGGAAGAAGGGAGCACTGTCTAGGCCGCACCTAGAGCAACATGGGGCTGGTCTCCAGCCTCCTTTCCCAGGGACTGCCAATAAGACCTCAGACTGCTTCCCTGTGGGAGGTTTGAGTCTCTGACCTGGGGCTAGTGGGGGATAAATCTAGGAGGAAATGGAGTGGAGAGACAAGACCACTGTAAGTAACCAAGAAATAGGAAAAAAGACCTGGAGAAGTTGAGTCCTCTCAATGCTGCTGAGTCCAGAAGCAAGTTCACAATGAAGTGAACTTTACCTTTTATAAATGTACTTTTTAATTGGTGATTAATAATTGTACATATTTATCATGTACCATATAACATTTTAAAATATGTAGACATTACAGAATGGCTAAATCAATCCAGCGAACATATATACACATTATGAACAAAACTAATCTTTAAATAGTAATGACTACAATAAATAAGACCTCAAACCTAAGAACATAAACTGTTGGTGAATATTTTATCATTTTGAGGGGGTACTAGGTATTGAATTCAAGGGTACTTTACACTAAGGTACATCTTCAGTTCTTTTTAATTTTTATTTTGAGACAGGGTCTTGCTGGGTTGCTAAGGCTGACCTTGAACTTGCATACTTCCTGCCTCAGCCTCCCAAATGACTGGGATTACAGATATAATTACATGTACAGATTGCATTCCACGATGCCCTTAAAAACAATTTTTAAAAAACAAGATCATGGATAGGGCATATTTCCCTATAGTAAAATCCTTAATTTTTTGAAAATTTTCATTAAAATAATGGACACATGTTATAGGACACATGAATAGGGTGGCAGTTAGGCAATTTCTTCATTTGGGTATATTAAAATATTCAGATCAGAGCATTATGAGTCACTCTCTAGCTCTTACCAAACAATCCTTCACCTACCTAAGTGGTTGATAAAAATCCTTCTGCTCCACCTCATAGTACTTCTCCAATCCATCCTCCTCTTGCCACCTCCTCTGCCACCAACTGGTCCCAGCCACCAGCTCCTCTTCTTCTGTCTTTGTGCCCTGACCATCTACATTCACATCTCCTTCTGTCCACTTCTGATCTGTTCTCCATTCCACAATCAGAGTCGTCTTTTAAAAACACACCCCTGCCTTAAACCCTTTCTAGCTCACTTTTACTCTTAGTTCATCATGTAAAACAAAACAAAATACTGAAAATTTCTATGCTTGGGTGGATCCTTATTAAGTCAATGCAAACTTATGTATTAATTATAAGTAAATATTAGATACTATAAACATTTCTGTAACTTTGAAATACTCAGTAGCTCAAAGAATATTTTTAAATGTGCCATATTATTTTTGTTATGTGATGTTGTAAGCCCAAGAAATGGAGCTCTCAGTAATGCTAATATAACAGATAAACTTCTATCTCAATGGATACCTTACGGGGAAGATTATGGGTAAATGAACATTCAGTGCTGAGGACACTGGTATGATTCCAAAAGTGCTAGAGACCCATATATACCAGCAGAGGGAAACTCCATAATAAAGCAGTAGAAGCATCAAAAAATATATATATAATGACAGCCTATAGAACTGATTTAGAATATGAGACTATGGTTCTACTTACTAAAGAAACATCATTTTTAGAGAATCATGGATTTTAAGGAAGCAAGAGACCTTCCAGTTTTTACCCTACAGCCACGGCCACTGAGAACCAGCATGGTGGTCAACACTAATTTAGCTGCTTTCAGACATAGTTTCATTTTGTTTTGTTTCTAATGCAATTATCTCTAGAATGAAGAACATCTTACTCAAGAAAAGTATAAGTATTCCACAAAGGATGATATTATTTCAAAGCAGCACTATTTATGTGCTTCTTGGAATAGCCACATATCTGAGTGACTTTAAGAAAATTTGTCAGGAGGACAGTTAAAAGAGCAGGACATAGTAGATAAGTGTCCTTGGTGGGAGGCTCCATGATGGATACACGTGGCGGCCTGGAAAGTGTGGTTGATACATGGGTTTGTGAGTAAGGACACTGGGGCATATTTTAAACATGACTGGGAGGAATGGCCAGTTTAGACGCTCTGCATTCCTACAGACTCTCTTCCACTTAAAGACCTCCATTTGGCTGGGAGCTGGGCAGGAAGAGTTCTATAACAGAAGAGCCTCCCATTTACACGGGCCTCAAAGTGTCAACACTTGTCACTGTCTCTACATTCTCCTTCACTCAGGAAACATTTTTACACATAGTGAAAAGGTGATAAGTACAAGGGTTTTATTATTTCCATGTCCCTCTGAATAACTTCATAATCTTAACTTTTTACTAATTCATGGAAAGAGTTGACCTCCTGCCAGCCCTAGGCTTGGTTGACAGGCATTTCATCTTTATTTATGTTCAAGCAAAAGAGCAATAACAAGTAACCAAAATATCTAAGCATTTGAAACATTTGATGCTCATTCCAAACAAGTTTTGAACACAGTCTACAATAGTGAGCATCTGTCCCCAAAAGGTCAACAATCTGAAAAGCTGGGCTTGCCAATGAGTCTTCTCTGAAACAGAAAGGAATAGCAGCTACGTTGCGTTTGGTCCTCCTTACCTTGGCATTGAGATTCAACCCAGAAGTTGATCTTTTGTCTGGACTGTTCAGTGTCTTTCCGGAAATCAACACTTTCAATCGTCGTGTGGTAAAACTGAATCACACCATCTAAGTACTCCTGTGCAATTGGAATAGAGGGGAAAGAGCACAATAAAAACATGTGGAGATGCCAGGAGTTTAGAGCGAAGCAGTCACGGGAAGTCTAAGGGGAAAGATGTCCTCCTCGTCACCTAACACTGGGGGAGCAGGCCTGTCGGGCTCTCTCTACCCCAGTCTTGGCTAGCCACCATGGCAGAACAGGACACAACGCTCATGAAGCTGTCTGAAGTTACAATGGCAGACGGCTTTCCTGCCAGACAGTGTTTTATCAGAACAATCCACATGTGGAGACATCACAAAGTAAATATAGAGTAACTTAAGAGGCTTAGCTGTAAAATGCTTCTGTTTTTAAGAATTAAAGTCCTCCTTAATGCCTACAGAGTTTTCATTTGGGGTAATAAAAAAGTTCCCCAAGTCTATAGGGTAATGGCTACACAACACTGTGAATGGAACTAAGGCCACTGAATGATGCACTTAAAAATGGTTAAAATGGCAAATTTTGTGTTATGTGTATTTTTACTGTGATTTTTAAATGAACAATGTAATATACCAAAACTGTTGATTTGTATACTTTTAATAGATGAATTGTATCATATCTGAATTTATATCCCCAAAATTTATTTTTTAAGGAATAATCGGTCATTCCCACTGTAAAAGAAAGCACTTATTTTGGTCAAAAGTAGGCTCTCTCCTTCCCCCTATAGTCCAGCTCTAAACAGCTGTGACACATATGTGCCACTGGTCACACCCCTCATGTCTGTGCTTAGTATGTGGCTCCTCCTGGAGACTGGAGGGCGACCAGAGCCCGAGTTGAGATACATTCTGCCAGGTAGAAGCTGCTGAGTCACAGAGACCAGATCTACGTCTCTGGCTCCCAGAACGCCACTTCCACTGGGACTGCCTGATCATGGCACCAAAGGGGACTTTAGAGAAGTGCCTTGAAGGCAGCCCAAATCTACCAGGGCTCTGGATTGGGAAAGAAGGTCACTAGAATGTCATTACCAAGCCCACGCACACTCCCAAGGCGGCTGTGCACATGACCCTTTCGCCACCCACTCTGCACACTTACAACAGAACTTGTAAACTTGAGTTGAGAGGTGGGTGTGGGACAGGAGGTGGTGGACCTGGACACCCACCAGTCCACAGCACATCCTCCCTTGAAAGAACTCTGTATGCCCGGTGGCAGGTGAACTATCCAGCTTCTTGCTTTTGAAGTAGCACACTCTGTGATGGCTTTTGTCCCCATCACGCTCTACTCACCGGGCAGATTGGGTATTCCTGCTCTCCATAGAGCCTGTTGGCCATACTCATGGTGTAGTGAACTTTGACCCTGCCTAACTTGGAGAGAAGATTTCCAAAGTAGCAGCTGAGCAGCTCGTTCTTACCACTGGAGGACTTGGCCTAACAAAAGAAGAGACAAATCACGACCTCAAACAGGACTATCAGAAGAGCTAAACACCCCTGAAGGACAGGTATTTTTCACAGAGACCAGTCAGAGTTGCTGGGTGTTCTCTGAGGTGAAGAAGAGAGAAAGGAGGTGAGAGGGGTCCCTGGGAAACCATGGCTCCCACAGTGGAGTCAAGACCACTCAGGAAAAGTGTGTCTAGGACCCAGCGATGCACAGGGGCACCCTGGCTTCCTCAGTATTCAAAAGGACACAAAAAAATTCAATTGTCTTCCACCTCCTAAATTTCGAGGGAGGGAGAGCCTGGAGAATGTCCTTCCTACCCCTGGGCTGAGCTGAGCACGGCAGCGTTGTGTGTCAGGGCATCTCTCAGCACCAAACAGAGCTGCAGAGGTGGAGGGAGGCAGATTCCACTGCACCTTGACCCCTGGCTCCCCTTCACCTTCAACCACACTCCATCCTGGGAGCCTGTGGTCTGCGGAGGCAGGCGAGTAATGGAGATGTAGGCTAAGTGATTTTTTTTTTTAATCCTGAGCAGAAGATACCAGGTCTTACTCATTAAGAAACTAACTCAGGGCCAAGGATGTATAAAAAGCATAATTACAAAGGAATCATAGGTCACATGAGGTTATTGCTGTTCACAGCAGCCAGGACCAAATGTCTGGGGATGAGTAACCCTCTCCAGTTGCAGTCGAGAACCAGCAGTCTGCAAAGAAGAGGGCAGGAGTTCAGGGCGACAGCTCACCTGCACATCCAGAGGCTCCGTGGTTTCTTTCTGCCCTTCCAGAGAACTGTCAACCTCTACGGCTTTTTTGCTTTTCAAACAGGGGTCAGGTTCTTTGCTTTCACTCTGGGAAAGTTCATTGAAGTGTAGTACCTGCGTGATGAGGGGGGAGGGTCTTTCAGACAATATGAACAGGAGGAAGCATCAAGAGAGAGCTTCAGTCACATTTTTATAATGTAACAATGATTATGCAGTCGAACGAAGTAATCAACCATCATTCACAGAAATAAAGGCTTCTTTCCTTAGATCTGGGGTTGAATGCAGAGGAAGTAACTGAATGTTTCCTCTGTCCAGGATAGCATTTAGGGACTTAAAAGGCTCTCGGGCTGCTGTGTTGAGAAGAGATGGCCGATGGGAACAGCTTCAGGAGACTGTCCATAGTGCCATGTTAGAAGAGATTGTAAGGTTCAGGCCTCAGGGAGATGGCAAGAAGCATCTGGATTCTGGTTATATTTGGAAAGAAAAGTGATCAGAATCTTCCGACCCACATGGTGTGAAGTGAGAGAGAAAAAGAAGGGTTAAGGAGGACACTGAGAACTTAGCTGCTGGACAAATACCTGGGCTTAATAAATATTTAGTTAATGGAATAAGCAAGAGACAAAGCACGCATATTAAAAATCACCAGCTAATACTGTTACCAATAATTATAGAGAGACAGACTTGTAGACAGAGATAGAGACAAAGAAGATGAGTGGGAAAAGCTGTCTGCTGGGGGGAGGCTGGGGAGGCTCCATAAGGAGATGGAGTTAGAACCTTGAAGACGGGTAGAATTGAAAAGAAGGTGAGGACTCAAGCAATCCCACCGTGCAGTGGATCAGCTCAGCAGAGGATCAGCATCTGACTTTGAATGTGCACCCGGAGTCCAGGACCCCATGCAGCACCTTCATGGATACACACCTCATCAATCTGACGAGCACTGTCATTTCTAGCCCCCAGGCGGACCATGCCCAGGGCAGCTGAGAGGCTCAGAGGAGAGTAAAAGATATTTTTTTGACTCTCATCTTTGGTTATCTCTCGGAAAAGATCCAAAGAAAATTTGGTATTTGCTTCAATCAGAGACTCCATTGTAAAACTGACAACTGCCTAAAACAAAAAAAAAAAAAGAGAGAGAGAGAGAGAAAAAAAGTGGTGATTGGAGAACATTGGCAAATAGACAAACAAATCATTCTTATTTTTAATACTCAAGATAAAATCATAGACAATTATTCAATGTGTGATTAATAATAAATAATTAATAAACTGGAAAACTAAGGTCACCCAACATTATATATCCAAACAATGGTGTCAGTATTATACCCATAGAGAAAGAAATCTATTTTTGTTCAGTGGTATGAATTAGTTTCCCAGAGCTGCCTTACAAGTTACCACAAACTGAGTGCCTTAAACAGCAGGAATTTATTCTCCTGCAGTTCTGGCAGATAGATGTCCAAAATCAAGGTGTTGGCAGAATCAGTTCTTTCTAGAGGCTCTCAGGGAACATCTTCTCTTCCAGCTTCTGGTGGCTGCCAGCAATCTTGACATTTCTTGGCTTATAGACACATCACTCCACTCTCTGCCTCCATCTGCACATGATGCCCATGACTATATGTGTGTGTGTGTGTGTGAGTGCGTGAGTGTGTGCCCAAATTTCCCCTTTATAGACACCAGTCATTGAATTAGAGGCCTAAATCAGTATAACCTCATTTAATTTAGTCCTCCATGACCCTGTTTTATTAAGTTCACATTCACAGCTGCAGAGATTAGGACTTAAACAGATCTTTTGGTGACACAACAATGCTACTCATTTCTTTGGGGAGCCTCCTTTATTCAGGTACAGTATGGTCAAAGGTTGCCATTCCCCACAATCAAATCAGCAGCCAAGAAAACCTCGTGCTACCTCCTCCTCTTCCTCCACAGGCTGTGCCTGTTTCTGCTTAAGTCTTTTGCCTTCTCCCCTCAGTGGTCTGTGCCTGAGGATTTGCCCAGCAAACAGTCCCAGGTCATGACCCTGGCCAGCATTCTTACCTCCATTGACTCATTGCATATGCAGCCTCCAGAACTTGAAGCACTTGAGCAGTCATTAATATTGTTCAAGAGGAAACAGATCTTCAAAGGTCATGAGTGTATAGAAGTCAATTCTTTCAACATCCTTTTCAAGAGAGTGACTTTCCTAAGAATAGATTTCTGGTCCCTGACCCCAAGCTACTCTAGAAGAAGCAAGAAAGTTCCCTGGAGATCTTACCTTGGACCTGTGGCTTGCAAATTAAATGTCTTTTCTTTGGTCTCTTTGCTTATGGATAGTGCATATTTCCAAGATGAAAACATATGCCCCTTTATTTGCAGTTTTGTCATTAGGTATGTGCCACACAGTAAGCATGAAATAAGTTAGTTTACTGAGCTGAACAGTACACTTTGACGTTAGCATCTTTCCAGTTTAATACACGTTTTTATAACTAATAAATTCTAATTTAAAAACATAATCTTAGACAACTTTTTTAAAAATTTATACCTGATATGATCTGAATAGTTTACATATATTAGCTTTAACCCCACATTTCTGCAGGGTAGATATTATAGCTCCCCTTTCACAAGATGAGAAAACTGAAGAATCAAATCACATATATACTTAATTCCAAACTAACTACTCTTCCTACTATATCCACTATGGCTACAATACCTGCTCTCAACTCAGGATAAGCTGGTCCTACATACCCCACACCTAGTCACATTTTCCCTCCTTGTTCAGTTTCGTTTATTTTTATCCTTAAATTCTTTCTACCAGATGTGTACTTGCTTTGAATTTCCAATTTTGTGCCTGGGAAGCTAGATTTGAGATATGCTCTGTATTTTAAAACAATCTGTGGGTAATTATAGGTCATCTTTTTCCAGGAGCCATCTGCCCTAATAGGTGGGTGGTTTTCAGGTAATGTGCATCCTGGGTGCGTCTGGCAATTCAGTTTGCTTCTTACACTGGAAAGTCACCTTTGCGTTTGTTGGGAAATACTTCACATCCAACACATTTTCTCTACAGCATGGTTCACATGGCCCACTTAGTAGCACAGGTCTACCAAGGAAGTAAAGAAAACAAATACATTAAAGACAGCCATGGGTGAGGGGATTCCACAGGCTTTGGTTTTCATAAAACTTTATAGAAAAGGCAGTCTAATATTTTTAAAGCTGTGGTTGTAGGACAGAGGCTGATATTTGATGAAAATCTTCAGCATCAAGAGAGGAGAAGGTAAGGGCCACCCTGGCTATTTGTCCAGAGGCTGGCAATTTTGAAGGAAAGAAGGGTGTGCATGCAAAGACAGAATGGTCCTGACCGGCGTCCGTAAGCTCCAGCTCAACTTTGCCTTCGCTCCTTTCTGTGGATGTGCCCCTGGCACAGAGGGGAGGGTGTTTCTCTCTGGCACGAGTGCCTCCAGAACAGAGTGACCCGCATCTCATGTACTTCAGAAAGGCGTGGCTGCTTGTGGGCCTACTCCCTTCTTCTCAAGATACACAACACTGAAGCCAGGTGAAGTGAAGTGATTTGCACACCATCCTGCGGCAGGCCAGAAGAAAGCTAAGATCTCTCGGTGCCTGGCCTGCTCTCCTGGTTTAGGCACTTGTTTCTAATTCTTGCAGTACCCTTACTCACTCTGAGAGCCGCAGAACACCTCCAAATTCTGCACGTTTCTACCTAAAACTTCTTCAAATTTGTAAACTACTTTTCATGAGTCTCCTGAGATGGACTGCAATTACTATGATGTTGTCACCGCAGCCAAGTCTCCTTTTCTGAGAGTCACCTGGTTACACACCACAGACCAGCTCTAAGCTTCCATTATAGGTCTGTGCTGCCTTCACGCTGCCTGACTCACCAAAAAAGAGGTGAGAAAGACAGTTGGTAGAAAAATGACTGAAAGAAACTACCTGAAGGTTGCAGTAACTATTACCTGACTGGATGTGCACACGTATAGTAGCAAGATCCTTCCTGGCTTCATACAAAGTTTAAAAGGTGGGAAGTGGGGAGATCATTTAATAACTTGATTAAAATATCATCTAATAACCATCTTCTGATGGATTGTTTGTTTGTCTTGGGGACTGGTTTTTAAATTAGGAACTGTCTAAATCTTACAGCAACCCAACTCTTGAATGATCATGCATAAAATTCTCTCACTGGGTCAGTCCCTGTGTAAAAAAAGGATAAGCGGATGAGATGCGGTTTCTGACTTTAAGAAATCCATGATCTAACAAAGCAGGAAAAGTCCCAGAATTGGCAAAACTCATCTGCAGCCTTGGAAGTCAGGAGGGTGGTTGTCATTGGGGGTGGTTAGCCACATAAGAACAGTGAGGGACTATTAATAAACTGACTCCCTAAAAATAACAAACAAACAAACAAAAACCATGACTTCTAGAGCTTGCCATTTCCAAGGTGTAAATATTGTCACTATGGTCAATTTCAACTAGCAGATAAGCAGACAAAACATAAGACCTATAAAACATCCCCTTATCCATAGTTGGGAAAAGATGAACAGAATCTGCCCTGGTGGGCCTGCAGGGGCCAACTCAAGGACATCAGGCCTGAGCACGTGTCCTGTCTGGGTCTGGGCCACACAGGAAACATACACTTGTGTCCGATGCACTTGTGTGTGCCCAGGTGATCACTTGGTTTCACTTCAGATGTGCCTTCCTGTTTGTCCTTTTAATGCCTATACAATTAGATGGCTCTATCTAAATTTTTAAACTGATATCTTCTTGTTGGGCATTTTTATTAGTTTCTGATTTTCCCTATTGTGAATTGTACAATGAACATCTTAATAAGTACAGACAGCTTCTATCTTCATTCGCATTATTTCTTCAGGATATCGTCAATGTGGAATTTCTGGGTTAAATATTAAAAGACTGGTTGACTTGCACACTCTGAAGCCAAGCTTACACATGAAGCAGCTGCTTCATTGTCTCACCATCTTCAGGTAATGTCATTATTATTTTTGATAATTTAAAAGTAAGAAAAAAAAGTTGTAGTATTTTTTAATTTGCATTTCATTGATACTCACTAACATTTGAACATTTGGCCATGTATTCTTTTCTGTTTATATATTCTGTTAAGTGTCCCTCATTATACTCCTTTTTAAAAATTATCTATTAGAGTTATGATCATTTACTTATTAACTTTTCATGTTATATACACATTTTGTTTCTAAGGATTGTTTTACACATATTATCCCTAGATGCTGTAGCTTCTTTGTTTCCTAGTGTTGTTTTAGAATTATTTTTACTTTTATTTACTTAAAATTGTCAATATTTTTGGTTTTACCCTCCATCACTTCAAAACTTTGAAAACAAAGTGTTTTGATTTTAATATTAAAATTCCATCTAGTTCCAATTTTTATAAGAAAAGTTAGAAAGTGTTATCTAAAGTTCCTAGTTTTAAAAATTTCTAATATTAGTTATCTTAAATTTGTAACAGTTTTCCTTTATTTTTTTCTTTTTGATGTTTTGTCCATTTATCTGCTAGTTTTTTTGCAGTGCTGGGGTTTTACAGGGCCTGGAGCATGTTGGGAAAGCTCTCTACCACTGAACCACACCCCCAGCCCATTTTAATGGGTTCTAAGGAATCCACACACATTCTCCTTTGGTTGATTCTTTGTTTTCTGGCTTAATTACTCATGTGAGACCCTCTTTGACTTTTCTCCACTTTTTCCTCCCACCACTATGTATTTAATAACCACACTACATTTATGTTTCTCTTTCTTTCCTTATTATACTGTAATGTACCTGTTTTTTATGTTTCTTTCTTTACTTATAAAACATAATGCTTGAGTGTAAGTTCAATTTTTTTATTCATCTTTGTATCTCATCAGTAAATAAAACAATGGCAGCACATAGGAGCATTTCTTTAGTATTTAAGGATTGATTTACTATTACTACCCCTTTTTTATTGTAGAAAATCTAATGTCATATTAGATGATATTATTCAAACATTATACATTCTGCAGGCAGCTGTAATAGAGATGTTGCATGGTGGAATTAGTTTTTGATTAATTTTCTACTCTATTAGAATAGTTCTTTTAATTAAAATATTATTTCCTTTATAGTGAAAATTAAAAGTTTAGACTAGATAGATGTTCTAACAACCAAATATATTCTAGGTGAAATTGTTCTTTCTATATGCAGCAGGAAGAAAAACTTTTATATTCCAAAAATATTTCTGGGCTTATAATTTCCACAAAACTACTAATAATCCAAGAATGAAATTCCAATTTTACCCAGGTAAAATTCCAATTTTACCCATGCTGTTCTACTGGAATAAATATAACCAGATTATAACAAATTAAATAATAAACAATATCTAAAAACAAGGAAATACTTATGACAGATGCAATCTAAAGTGTTTTCCAAACAGTAGGAAAGAGGCATCTAAACTCACATTACTTACAATATGGATAACCTAAATACCATTCCATTTTATATTGCAGAAATAATTCATTAAAAGATGAAATACAATCTGTCAAGTATATGAAGGCAAAAAAAAGTTATTCAAACATTCATATTGTTTTAAAAAGTTAATCAGATACATCGACTGTCTGACCAGATGGTTGGAGGCTGAGAAAGATGATTGATCATCCAGTGAGTATTGCCACACCTGCAGAAAATTCAAACCATCATAACATAAACTTTTTTAAAGGCTTAATAAAAATAACCTATCATTCAACTTTAATCATATCTCCTTTTGGTTTCTATTATTTTAGACAATCTTCCAATGCAGTGTTCATATTGAAAACCATACCAGGCAATGTGAGAATTTACCTTCTTGCCTTCGGAGTTGCTGCTGACAACTGGCCAGGTAAGTTTCCATCCACACCCTGTCAGGGATGGGAATTTATCAGCTCAGCTCCTCCCACAGTGGCACTTTCCATGTGTCATTAATCTAGGGTAAATTTGTAATTGATTGATTAAAGGGAAAAGAAAATTGTGGCAGGTACTTTTAAAAACAAATTTGTATTCTTGATTCTTTCAATTAAATTAAATATTTAACCTATTATGCTTATATTTTCTTTGCTCTTTCCAAGTGGGTCTTTTCATAGAGCCCTCAATGTAGTGCTCCATCCACATTTTTCTTCCCAAATCTCTATTCTAGATTTTAAAAATGAAGACGAATGGAGATCTATTTTACTTCATATACTTATTGTCATGGATGATCTCTTATATTTGAATGTTTATTATTCTAAAATTTTTATGTACAACTTCTATAATAGGGACTTGAAAATGTGTTTTCAGCTATTTTCAGTTGTTGCTGTGGTTGTTGTTTTCCCTGAAGCAGTGCTGGTGTGGCGGAGGGGATTACTATCCATCTACCAGAATAACTGGATACCAATCAAAGCACAGAAACTATCTCAATAAAAACCAAAAAACTGGTCTAGATGTCTCTAGAAAAGATGCCCAATTTAGCCTCCTGAGGCCTATGGCCTGCCTACCTATTTTTCTTATTTGTTTCATCAAGAGTTTTAAGGCCCAAGACACCCCAACTTTTTTTTTCTTAAACTTCTGAAAAACCTTTCATAGGAGAAACATGTTCAGCCATTGGGGGAGGGGGAGTTTTTAAACAAAGCCAAATAAGATTCTGATGTTATCTGTTGTCCTAACCCACCAAGATTCTGACATGCCTGAGCATTTGGGGTCAGTTACAAAGGCTATAACAACTTGGAGGTATATCTGAGGAGAGCCAGAACTCTGGGAATTTATTGATATGAGGATTCCTCCCTGGCTTGATGTCCTCTCTAACCCATGCATATTTCTTTTCTAACTTATTGTCACATAACAATGACATCTGAGTGTAGTCCCACAATACGAGGATATTAGATATAAGGAAATTCAAAAGCAAAAAACTCTACAAAAGGAATGTTGCCTTTATGGAGAATAAAAATGACTTAAGTAACTAAATCACAAATGAATAAGTTAAAAACTTATTTTTTATAAAATAAGATATTGACCAATGGAAATTAGTGCCTAGACATCAAGAGGTTTTCTCAAATCTCAACAGTAAGCAAAGAAAACAACTGTGCTATTCGTTGTCTTCACTCCATGACCACTGGGAAACCCTTGTGTGTTTTTACTCTAAACGCTTCCACAAAATTCTAAACACCAGTCTCGCCATTGGTCACAATTTGCAAAATGTTAGAAAATTTCAGATGCAAAGCAGTCAGTTCCTCATGCCAGTTGCTCACTAACTACTTCATGCAGTCATGGCCTATCATAGCCTTTCTGAAAAGGGTGCTATTTACAGGTAGAGCAGGATGATTTTGCCTGGCCACCTGGATTTACAATTGTCACATTTGTTATTGCTGGCTGTTGATATAACAAATTGCACTGGGTACCTGAGCAGATTCAAAGCCTGTCTGATTATCTTTAATCTAGGATTGCGTCTGATTATCCTCTCAATCCAACCAAGATCTAACTATGGATGACTGTGCCCTACAATCCTAAAAATTTGGCGTGGTGTGATTGCTCAACCAATGATGGTAATATCTGCCACTCCATGTAACTACATGTGAAGGAAACTTGATAAATCACTAAAGAGGGAATGAGCACTTATTAAGCACTCCATATACCAACCACCATTTGGAACTTAGGACATAAAATCTCATTCAAGGTTGGTGAATGAAAGTCAATCTCTTCAATGTTGGTGACTTCAGGGAATTACACTTCAGTTTGAAGACATTTTGGAGGTCAACCAGCCTGACAGTGCTAGCCAAGATAGTCTGGAAAATGCTCCTGTGTCAATAGACCATAAAAATGGTGTCTGTTCAACCAAGTGTAGACTTATATGATTCCTCCTAGATGTTACAACTCATCGTGAGTTATAGGCAATCAATTAGCCTTTCAGTGACTAGACTTTTTCTACCTGGAATAAAACAATCCAGCAATGCCAGAATGACTCACCAGCCAACATCTTTGCCAGCTTCTGATACAACACCATGTGATTAAAAGACTCCTGTTGGTAAAAGCAGTATTTTTTAAATATTGTGAAGAAAATCTTTACAACTAATTTTACAATCTCAATACTGAAGAAACAAAATGTTTATAAGAAAAACATCAGCACACTTTTTATCTAGTGAAAATGTATCTTTATCTGAAATAGATGGTTTACTGACATCCATGATTTTATACTCCAAACTTCAAAGCCTGATTACAAAAAAAATCCAAAATTAGAGGGAAAAAATCCATTAAGACAACAAATAGCAATAATAAAGACAGTAAGCAAAGAAAACAAGTGTGCTATTCGTTATCTTCATTCCATGACCACTCGGAAACGCTTGTGTGTTTTTACACACAAAATACACACACAAAAAAAAACTTGTTTTAAAACTTATAGTCACCCTTGAGATATCACCCTTCATGTAAAAGCCCTCAGTTCTTTCAGAACAACACTAAAGCTTCCAAGATTGAAAATAATGCCAACTGCCAACTCGAATATGACAGAGGCATGGGACACAGAGACAGGCAGAGCAATAAGACAGCAGAGGACACACCACAGGAAGAACAGAACATGGACAACCAGGGACCCAGATCTCGAGTCCCTCTAGCCTGAGACCTAAAGCAATTGTCTCATTCATTAAAAAATAAATAGAAATAATAATAGCTGTTTCTGCTCTGTATTGAAATATAACTGCATAGAATTTGTACTGTATTAACTTTTGTTTCCTACCCATCTTTGTGAAATATATTTCTTTCTCAAATTGTAAATCAGGCTTCATCCTTCAAAAAAGTGTTCATGAATTAGAGCTGCTGGGGCCAAATTTAACCCATTGCCTGTTTTCTTCAATAAAGTTTTATTGGAAAGCAGCATATTGTTCACCTGCTGCTGCCTGTGGCTGCTTTGGCTCTACAACGAGAGTTCAACGGTTGTGAAGAAACATGGCCGACAGAGCAGAAAACACTCCTTGGTCCTCTGCTGAAGTTTGCGGATCCATGCTTTAAGTGATGAAACATCATGATTTTTAAGGACTATGAAGTTGTTATATCCTTAAATATACAACCATTCCTTACACAAAACTAATGTGTGATACACTGATAAGAAATACACTAAGACATTTTTAATTTCTTAAACTAAAATATGTGCTTTGGTTTTATGTTAACCCAAGATTCTAATCCCCTACTGTATTGCAACAAAATTGTGGAACACCCATTCATCAGGTGCTCACTCTGGGTGCACAGTGAACAAAAGCACACGTTGTCCCCCACATTCATGACATCTAGTGCAATAGGAGTTTGCAATCCAGGCTCTATTACCTGCATCTAGATATAATAAGCATTTATTGGGGACCAAATATGTGCAGGCCCTTTCAAACCTATTATCTCATTCAGTAGTGAGGCAGAAAGGGAGACATCATTATTCCAGTGTAATTAATGAGAAAACTAGGATTCAGAGAAGCAGGGTTGTTCAGTTGTGACCCTAGAAAGCAACAGAATGATCAATAATTTGATCAACCCCTCCCCTAACTCTCTGATCCGAATAATAAAGATGTGCAACACCTAGGGCTTCAAGAACAGGATAACTGACTCCAAAAGCCCTGGCCATCCACAGTAGCTTGTCCATCTCTCAGCACACACCAAAAAGCCAGAGAGTGCAGTCCCAGCTAAGGTCTGAACTCTGATGCAGCCAAGGAGGAAACAGCCAACAGTAAGGAGAGGTGCTGAGCAAGTTCTGTGGCATTAAAGTTCATGAATCAGGATCTTTTCAAGCCGACCTGCTGCTACTTATTTTCAGGATGCCACAGATGAGGAGCTAGAGCCTTCAATAAGCAGCTGCTAAGAAGCCTGAGCTGTGCATCTCTTTTCCTTGTTCTCCCTAAACAACTTACAGAGCCCTTCAAGCGCTGAGCTATACCATGAGTTCATCATCTGTAAATGGAATACATGGCATTCGGGAGGAGGGTTTTCATGTCCCTTCCCTATGCACCAACCGTGAATGAACAGAGCAGGGACAGGGCTGTGGGTTCTGGGCCAAGCATGAGACTGCACTTCCCAGGCACAGTGGACTTGTCCCCCAGTTTCTGTTCCCTGCTCATCATGGCCACAGCTCCACGGCAACCAGGACAATTCCCTAAGCATCCTCACCGTCCATTCTTATCCTTCTAGCATCTCAGTCTTTACTAACAAATACAGCACATCTCCCCCTCCTTCCCTGCTCTCCTGGTTCCTTCTCTTCATCTTGGTCTTCCTCAGCTCCGCCATGCCCTACCCCTGGGATCCAGTACATCCCTTTCTCCCCTGTCTCTCCCTCCCTCGGCAAGGCCATTTCAGATGGACTGACTCACCTGCATAGCTTACCAGATGTTAGCCATCATCGTGAAACATCAGCTCTTTTCCAAAACATGGTGAATGTTGTGTTAAGGAAAATAACACATCCTCTAAGGGGGGGGGAGCTATTGAGAGGTCCTTCAGTGTGATTTGCAGTCTTGGAGCAAAGCTCCACCTTTGGATTTTTACAAAAGGCTCTTCCTCATTAACTAATTTCAGCACAGCTCTCTCCAGGTATCTGGAAACGCATCCTAGACCATGACCCAGTGAGGATTGTCCTCTGGGAAGCACACACTGTAGTTATATTAAAAAATTCAGACCATACTCCATTCCATGAGAAAACTCATGGGTCTATGGGGTGTTCAAGTTGTAACTGCCTAACCTAGACGATCCAAAAGCACATGGAGTATCATGTGACTTGCAAATAAGGAATGGCGTTCCAACCAGCCAGATTTAATCCATAGAATAATAATATGATTTAGAGTATAACTGTGAAAGCAATAAGAATTTTGAATGAAGGAGATGGTAGACAAATTGGAGATAGTAGAGCATA